TGAGCTCGATGTCAGCAAACAGGCCAATCTTGATGATCTGCCACAGCAGGCCCAGCACCAGATGAGGCTTCCCCTCCTTCAGGTCTTGCGCACCAATGTTCACCACATGGCAACCAATGGCAGAAGCCGAATTCAGGGCCAGGTTCAGGTTCTCCTGTAAGGTGTAACTACACATCAGCTGTTGGAAAATCTGCCTAAAAGTGAGGGGGGAAAATGAACTCCACAGTAAATTCATTTCTGACCTGTGTAGTAAACGGTGTCAGCCTCTTCTTATTTATGGTTCTCTCATCGATAGTGTCTGGCACTGACAGGTTGATCATTTTGCTGCAAAAACATAAAACCAAACATGAACTTGTATCCAAAATCCAGTCCAGTATCCACATTGTATGATAACGCAATAAACCTACATATTTATTGTTTGCACAGAATATTGAAAAGCTTGTGAACTGTGGCATAAAGCAATTTGGTGTCAAAATATTAATTTTGGAGCACTGCGCTGACCAAGGGGTCCCAATGTGATTTGACGCATCCCCAATAAATAAAAACTTAAGAGATAATATAAATCAATTTATCCCTCCGACTGTGGATTCAAGCATATTTAACAATTCCATAAAACGACAATATTGTAACATAGTATATGTCAGCCTATGTGCTGTTCACAAGTTTTAATGTCCACGTTAAATGAGCTTCAGCATATGAACAGTGTTCCTCTTTGATGTGTGGTTTACCAGACTAGACTATGTTCAGACACAGGTGATTCGGTCTCTTTGTAGTTCTGTAAACTGTTAGAATTTTTAGATTAACATAAAACGACAAAGTACTGATTACTTGCAAGACAGCTTTTTTTTTTTGCCAACTATCATTCAGCCTGACATGACCTTCCCTTTCAGCAGTGTTTATGATACCAATGTTCTAGTGTTAGTCACTCACTGTTTCCAGTGACAACACCTGTGACTCCTGAACTGGAGATTTAACAAAAAGCATGACTGGTTTAGAGCACTATGAATGAATTTAGTATTATGGTATTAGCAGCAATATCTCCTTTGCAATGGGAGACTGAATGCTCCTATGGTTGGCTGACATTCCCCAGTGCAAACTGGTTTTCAGCCAGAATGTGACCACGCCATCAAGTGCAGTACCCTGCAGGTGTTTGGCATTTATTTCCGGAGGGCAGCTACAGTAGGCAATGGAGGGGAGAGCTGTGTTGTTAGCCTGAAGTGAAAACAGGATCTCTCACCAGAGCACTATACCGTCCCAGAGAGAAGTGAAGAGAGAGTCTGTGTTGGGATCCATGGGCAGGACATGTTGGCAGTCAGGGTCTTTCTCCAAAGCAGTGTTGATCCAGTTCACAAAGGCATATCGCTCCTCCTCTGGAAGTGTGTACATATACAGGCATCAGCTAAAAGCAGTATACCAACAATATAATGTGACAGTATCGCTCGTGGCTCATACTGTCCATTATAGTGTTGCCAAAAATATTCATTTTTCACTACATAGATTCTGAATATTTGAAAAAGTTCCAATATTCATTTTCTGCTGCACTTTCTCATTCTCTCTTCTCTCCAATAGTAAGTTTACACAAACACATACACACAGCTCCGCCTCCTGTTACACACTCACAATGCTGTCGGCCTCGTCACTCATCCTGCTCCAGTTGAATTTTAAGCTAGCAACAGACAGTGGTATATTGCGGGTTTTGCTATGGCGTTCGCTCATTACAGATGACAAGTGCATAACCTCCACAACAAATGTTGGTTGACAGAGAAAACGAGAGGTACTAACACAGGGGTGTCAAACTGAATCGCACAGGGGGCCAAAACTCAAAGTACACTTTAGGTCGCAGGCCGAACAGGATACAAATTTATTGAACAGACTAAAACTAAACGTTTTTTTAACATAAATATGAATCGGAACAGGCAGGATACAATATTATTCTAAAATAAATCAACTTGAACTTAAAATCACCAACCCTATTTCTGCTAAGGCTTAGTACATTTGCAAACACCTGCACAAGACGTCGCACACTTTCATCATGCAGCTCTTCAGAAACTCTGATTTTCTCCTCTGTCCCAATAAAACTTGCTTTCACAGCAGCTTCACTCTGTGATTTCACTTTGGTGAAAACGTCTGCTGTGATGTCAGATTCCTCTTCAACTCCTCTACCTTCTGTAGCTTCTGCTCTGCATTCATGTTTTTCAGCTTGTCCTGATGTTTCATCTCGTAGTGCCGTCTTAGGTTATATTCCTTAATTACAGCCACATTAGCTCCACAAATAAGACACACAGGTTTACCGACAATGTCAGTAAACATATACTCAGCCTCCCACCGGTTTTAAAAGGCTCTGTTTTCAGAATCAACTTTCCTCTTGGCCATTGTTAGGGGCTAGCTTTGACTTGAAATTAGGGTGGTATACATCAACAGACGCTTTATTGATCTGACGTAATTGACATGGGAATGATCGCAGGTAACCTATCGTTCGGTAAGGCATCTGTTGTGCTGCATTATGGGATTTGTAGTTTGTGTGTTATGGGCGCTTCATATCGCCGGGCCATTAAAGAAAAGATATATAAAATGATCTTGTGGGCCGGATGTGGCCCGCGGCTCTTGAGTTTGACACACGTGTACTAACCCAACAAATTCAGCAAAGCACCTGAAGCACTGCCATGCTGACCTCTATCAAGAATTTCAAGAGGTTGATGACAGCTCCCATTTCAACATGAAACAAGATGGTCCAGTAAACTGTCTTCTCCTGTTGTTGGCCCAAATTTAACTCATAAAACGAAGCTTATCCCACTCAGAGCCATCAGGCCTAAAACATCTCAGACAGCAGAGATTCAGTTGATAAGAAAGTACAGACATTAATTAGCAAATTAAGTTAGATGCTGTGGTGCTTAACACAGTATATGTGACAATCTCAGAGGCTCTTGAACATTTGTACTACCTCAAGAAAAATTGTTTTCATTCATTCAACATATAATAGGTTATTCTACCATTTCTCTGCTCCTAGCCAAGTAAAGAAAGGTTGTACCACCTTGTCAAGTTAAAGCCTTGTTATACTTTTAAATTAAATCTGAAATTGTATGCCCTCAGTTAGTTCCCTGTGGTATCAATAATGGTATTGTATCACAGTTAGAAATTGCAGTATTATGACAACACTAGTTCATCATATGTTTTTCTCTGGTAAATGAAGCATCTGTACCTGAATAGCCGCAGTCAATAGTTTGTGATAAACAACAGCAGCGACTGAAGAGAGTGGAGATGATGTTGATTATATTGGGACTATGTTCGACTCACCAGAGAATGAGTGTTGTGTGCCTTCGCTTGACAGCTCAGACGTCCCTCCGATAGCCAAGATGCCCTCTTTTCTGTTGATGGCCTTCCGAAAGGTTTTTGCTACTTCACTGCCCTTCAGGTCCTGGACAATCTAAAAATAGACCAAAGGAACCAATCAATCCCTTGTGGATAAAATAAATAAATAAATAAATCTACACTGTACAAGTCATGATTTTGGCTAAATGATCAACACTGGAAAAAAAAAGCATTATTTGACTGATATAACTTTTATCAGTAATAAATAACAGAACTGTCTTCTGCTCATCAAAGCAGTTTTCTGCTGCCCTTTCAACTACTGTGTGTTTATAGTACCAGCATCATATTTGTTTCAACAAGGAAACTGTTCATCTGAAAACACAAACTGAATTCTCTTTGGCCAATTTAATAGGTACACCTGTCGAATGTACTGTAACAAAGTACTACAAGCTTTTCCATACATTTTACCAGTACAAAGTTTATAAAGCCGTTTTTGCCAACACTGTCAGAAAAATATTTAATTATACGTTTATTACTGAGATAACTAAAGTCAGTCTTGTACTGGACTGTTTTACACACAATGAGTTGGGAAGAATATTAGAACTCCTCTGAATATAACACCACCAGCACTAGCTATGACCTCAATGCTAAAAAAGTAAAATTTAAATAACACCTTTATGACTGTGGCTGTATTAGAACGCATTAGATAATACAGGTGGTATTTAATAAAATGTAGACCGTGTGCGACTGGCTTCAGTTCTCTTAAAAGAAAATCACTAGCACAACAACCACCATCTTCCCTCCTTTTACTGCTATGTGCATCCCGTGCTATCTTGTCATGCCTGTTGGTGATCATGACAGCCAAGGTTACTTGGCAGACACAGCAGTGCAGCTGGAATTTCTTCTCATGGGCATGAAAACAAACAAACAGAAAAAAAAAATCTATGCTGCCAGTTAAAGGGCTGAGAAAAGATGGTGACTGTCTAGGCTAGTAACTGAGTTTTAAAACGCACATGGGCTAAACAATAGAGTTCAGTAATGGGAAAAGTGCAGGAAGACATTAGATCAATGAGTTCATAAATGCAACTTATGTGGTGCATTCAAGTACACCGTAGCGATTTATAGTGAGACTGTGTATTCACTACCCATCTAATCTTTGTATTAAAGTGCTGAGCATGTGAGTGCTAGTGTGTCATTAGTGTTATCAATAGTAACAGTAAACCACCAGAGCTTGAACTGTTATCATCCTCCAGACGCTAACACCACCCTCAGGCTTGTTCCCAGGTCTCAACATTATTGTCTAAACATTAAATCAGTGTCAACAACTAATGAGACTATAGAGAGCTCTGTGGTGTGTTACGCAGACACACTTCCTGTAGCTGAAGTTATCACTACTTCATCAGTGACCTCAGCCCTACAGGCGCTGGTGTGACCACAATGAGCTATTCAGCCGGGCACTAGGAGGCTTGTTTAAAAAGTACACTTCACCACAAACATACACAAGGTCACAACTTGCATTTTTGTGCCCTCTAGGTAAAAGAGAACCACAACAAGGCAGTCATGTCCTTGCACAAATGATAAAGATTTCCACTAAATTCTGAAAGTCAGGAAAAAAAGGTCATTTATTTTAGCCTGACATGTATATGTATGGGCTGTAAAGAGGATATTCACATTCATCCCACATTTAATCTGCATCCTATGCATAAAAACCATGGAAGTGATAAAAAGTCTGGTTTTGGAGCACCATGTCTTTCCAATACAATGGCTAACTGGGAAGTCCCAGTTATATTCCATTCCCACCAGCACATGAACAATACTGGACTTTGCATAAAAAAACAGGGTTGAAATATTTTTCCATAGGACAGACAGGACTGTCAACAAAACCTTGTTTGACTTTGTGGGCACAGTTTTATCTCCCACTTCTAATATATCTATTTATGTATTTCAAGGAATATTCGATTTCATTTAATCGTGCTTCAATCCTGCTGTTTCTATGTATAGAACCTTGTAACTCTGCTTTGAAAGGTTTATATCAATTATTTATCCTACAAAAGAACAGACAAACTTTGAAAAACTGTTTTGCCAAAAAAAAAACTTGAAGGCACCTCCAAAGCGGGCACATGGCAGTGGGAACATAGGCAGAGCCTGAGAGGAGCATTCCTCAGCTCAACACGTTTTGGCCGGTTCCGATAATAGGAAAACCACTAAAGAGTATGTCACACTGTAAGATTATGAAGAAGCCCATTACACTCCTTCAAAGTCGCAGCCCAGTTGGAGTCACAAACACAGTACATTTCACTTTGACACTATCCCACTCAGGTTTAAGCTCACTAATCACCAGCTAAACAGTTACATACACTAAAACAAGACATACTGTATGAAATACTGCAAAAAAGACAAAACATGGCTAAATTTTGGTCCGCCCTCTTGATCTGGAGATTCTCAAACATGCTGCACACTCCTGTTCCTGAAGCCTCCCCTGCGAATGACTGCTTTCTCTAAATGACCACTCGCTCATCACAGCTGCAACAAAATACTAGAACGTGCAACACGTTGCAGACCTCATGTCCAGTCTCTCAGTGTGTGTGTGTGTGTGTGTGTGTGTGTGTGTGTATGTGGTTTGCAGAGGCCTTTCATCTCATGCATGTAGCTGCTAAACGTTGCTTTGTGCAGGGGTCTGACTCAGGAGGGTGAGCTGCTTTCAGGCAGAGCAGAAAACAAACACCAACTCACAGTAAGAAAAACTCTGAACAAAGTGAAAACACGTCCAGTCCGACAGTTTGTGCTGCTCTAAACTCTGCTTAACGTACCAACAAAAACTCATCAAAGCTGATCCTATTATCCTTGTTGCGATCAAGTTTCTGGATGATTTCTCGAACCATGTATCCAGGCAGTGGATGGCCGGCCTCTTTGAGGAGCTCATGGAGTTCAAAATCAACGATGTATCCATCGTTGTCCAGGTCTACAGAAGCACAGAAACGAACAATAAGACACCGACACACATGATACAAATAAGGCTGGAAGTACTCTGAGAGCGGTTTACTACAATTTATGCTGGTAAAGAAATAATAATCAATGTCCATCATAAGTCAAACTCAATTCTTTCTGGATTTTTTGGTTTTAAACTTACAGTAACAGATAAAAAAAAACCCTGCACTTATAACAAGCTTAAACTAGCAAATAGTGTGCTTACATTTTTATTGATCCATTTAATAACATACTGTCATGGTAACATGACTTACTCACCAATTTTGTTAAAGATCTCCCTCATCTCCTCCATATCCTCTTTTGTTATCTTTCCAGACATTTTTCTGTGATTGACCTGAGCTGGTCAGTCAGGTGGGGCTGCAGGGAGGAAAAGAGCACACAGTCATCAGCACAGTCTTCAAATGACAGAAGGGAGGACTTGAGAAAAACCTCCTCAGCCTCCCATAAACTTTCCTTTGGCCCTTAAACTTATGCAGGCTGATGCATCCTTCTATGTCTTCAACCAGGGAAACTGATTTGCACTCCTAACTCATCTCACTGATATGTAAATTCGCTTCAATCACAGAGCAGCCGCAACTTTTCTTCGGGGATGGAGAAGTGGCCTTTCTTCTCCAGACTGAACAGAATTCACTCCCCATCTTCAGTCAGGCTTAAAAACTCTTAAAGTTGTACTTCATGTACCCATCTCCTCTGCTGATCATATCTACTGTTCTCTTTAGTTTCTCTCTTTTGCTTTTTCCCCCGTTTCCATGCACCAAAATGAAAGTAATTTCCTGTTGGCTCCAATGAAGAGCAAGAAGCTCTTGTTGTAAAAAAGAGAGGCTGGGACTACTTCAGTGGTGACTGTTATAATGTTATACAAACTTACATCTGATCACTGCAACTGCATGTCCCACTAAAACTGACCCATTTGTCTACATCCTTTTTTGCCCTTTCCCCTGCACTACAAACCCAATGTAATCATTTTATTTTAGTATTAAAATGATCTTTCATACAAACTGAACTAGCTGTATTGAAAAGCCACAGAGACTGCATCCAGTGTGACACTTTAACACCTGGATCACTTCAGAGGGCCATCTGTGTGGGCTGCTGCTCGGAAAAGTAAAAGACCTTGATGCCAGGTCACCATGAAGCTATGAACGTCCTCGCTTTCCAGAAAGATTTACTTACATTTGTAAAGAGTGGAGTCAAAACATGACCGGTGAGAGTCTGAGTTATTCTGCTTGACTAAAAACACTATTCCCAAAATCCCCTCTCACTGAAACTGTGGAATTCCACTGAATAACTCCTTCCCGTTCTACAGGCAGATAAACGCACAAGGCCTGGGCAGACTGAGCTTCACTTACAAAGACAAGCAGGCTAAACTGGTATGAAGGCATTCCTCTACAACGCCAGTGTTCAGAAAACAAAGAGGTGGTTTATACCACCATAAAATAATGATCACCGATTTTTCCAGACAGAAAAATATTCCCATTTCCTGATTTGAAATACAGCTGATTTTCACATACAGAAACCTTGGGCAAGGCCATGTCTGGTTTCCACAATGCAACAACATAATAAAACCATATTAGAGAACAGCTGACTGCCCACTTAGTGAAATGGCTCATATTTCACCTTATTATTAGGAATAATCTATCTCTGTGCTGAGTGATTTCAGCCATCTGATCTCTGTGGTCTCCGCAGCATCACGGGCGCAAATTCAGCCAGATAAACAATGAACAAAAGCCCAGTAGCCTTGCATCCTCTTTCAGGAATGAGACCATTAATAGTAGTCATTAAAGTTCATAGAACAGTAGCAGCATGGCCTCTGAGATGTGACTCAGTTCTTAATAGAGAGAGAGAGAAAAACAAGTGTTGGCATTGAGCCAAGAATGAGTTTCCCCATTCAAGTCATTTAGAGAATATCCAGTTTATTCTGAGTGAATTTATGAGAAAAAGACAAAGTAGTAAAACTGGTGGAAATTAACAACAATACCAAGGTTAGATTTGTCACTTGAGTCAGTTTCAGACATATGCCAGAAATGCCACTCCATGAATCAGCCTGAACAGGGAGGGTGGTTTACTTCTGCAAAGTACTACTAAATCAGGGTAACTCCTGACTAAACAATTAGGAAAATGATGATGCCAGTGTTGCTATATTTAACTTTTCTCCAGAAGGATGTGAAATGTGGCTGCTGAAGAACAACAACTGCTGGCTAGACAAACATAACCTCATTTGCCAGCTCTTTTCACGCCCTCGACAGAGAAGAAACACAAGTGAGGTTAAGCACATGGAGAAAGGGCACAGATGGCAGTGGACAAATGTCAGGCATATTACTGGTGGTACAGAAGAATAGAGGGTTTATAATTACCATCACAAACAGTGGCAATAAATCCTGTGTAACATTACAAAATGAGTTTGGTGTGTCAGGCTCCAAAAACAGCTGCTGCTTTTGACAGCTGGTCTGAGTGCTCAGAGCAAAGAGGAAATTCCTGTGCTCTACTAAACGCTAAAGCAGCCTGCGAAATGGAGCAGCTAATGTTTGCCTAAAGGCATATCAATACTCCTGATAGAGTTTAAGGGCAGTATTGAAATGTCAGCACTTGGCTACAGCGCAAACATTAAACAGATGAGAATGATGCTGCTGTACTTTTGATTAACAAATTCAAGGACAAAATTGCAAGATTTTGGACTGAAATGAGAAGACATCCCCCAAAAAATAACTAAAATGAAAGCAAATGCCAGTCCTCCACACACACCTAAGCACGTTTGTCATCTCGGTTCCATGACATCTAGCAGTAGCCAAAAAAAGTGCACCTGGACTTGATTTGTACTGTTTAAGATATTTCACAACTCATCCAAGAAGCTCTCCGAGTCCTCTCGGCACTGTTTTACAACTAGTTGTGACTGATACAAAAAGTATTTCTTTCCAAGTGCCAGCTTTAATTGGTGAGCCACAAACAGCACAGTGACGCTGTTTATAGTCGCCTCTTTTGGATCTTTCAGTCAAATTCAAGTGGAGGTCTGAAACCAGAAGGCTGAGTTAAATGAGCAGAGCTGACACACCCCGGCCCTGCCAGTGCTTCATCCACACTGTTACATGGGAAATGTGGGGCACACAAATAGATTGGGCACCCTTCCCAAGTGTGGTCAAGTTCATACGCACACACCCAAGTTAAAGTCTGCAAGAACATGGACAATGTGACTCAGTCACAGTCGCTTGCAGATGTCATGCAAACTGGCTCATGAACAGCAAACAGTCTGTTGCAGCGGGCCTTCATTTCCTTTTTAGGCTGTGTAGATTAGATACGCACAGCCTTAATGACAGGTAAGGGGGAGGTGACGACAACAAATGCTGTATGTGGAGTGTACACAGCTCTGACATCATGTACAGCTGCAAGCACAACAACAGAGACTGGGTTTTGGGGTATGATAAAAGCTCAGAAATGCAGTTCATATGGTGAATTATTATAGAAATATTCATATTAAACGATCGTTTGACAAGATCGCCAACCTCTTTATAACCTGCTCTCTATAGTAACTATGAAAGGGTGTAGCTGCAGCGGGTTTAACCCAACCCAGTGTCCTTAGACAGGTTCCTGAGGTGCTGCTCAGTCAGTTGGGTTTGGCTGTTTCTGCTGCAGGTATTGAGCCACACCTACAGGGGGTTGCTATTACTCAACAAAAGCACTGCAAGGCATTATTATTTACACATGGCATAATCAGACATTACAAAGCACAGTAACTGTGACATACCACCCTTTCCTCATGCAAGCATGTTGATGGAGCACCCTGGAAAAAGACACTAATCCCTCCTTGCTCCATGACCACCATGTTAAGAAGCTAACTCCTGATCTCCCAAACAAAGATGTAAACATTAAGAGAACTGTTCTGTGGAGATTAATGAATCTGAATCACAGTCGTGTCGTTCCCCCCCCCAAACAAAAGGAGCAGCCACTGTAATCCACTGTACTTGCAATTCAAATTTGTCCTCCTGTGTTGTAGGTATGCAAAGGAGTATATTTTCACTCTCCATTCCTAAAAAGATTCATGAAAACTTCGAGCTCGGCACACATGATGGCAACATCATAAATTTAAGTGGCTGTTATGTTTCACTCACTACATATTTGAGTAGTTCATCCTGGCAGAGTCTTATTACTAAACATTCAAAAACATTTCCCTATCACTATTTATATTTTTAGGCAGAGTCAGGTTAAAAACATTTTCTATCCACAAGGTAGCACATTTTCTAACTGGGATAAGATTTTAAAAAGAGATGCAGTCCACAATGTTTTTTGTTTAATTACCAATCAATGGAGGCTTACGAATACAAAACCAAGTGCAGCTAATAAGCAACTTGATTATTTTCACTAACAAATATAAAGTGGAGGCACCTGTTTAAAATCCTGACACAGCAGAAAGTGGGACAACCTGTTCATTCACAGGTGTGAGCATGTGTGAGAGTGGAAACAAAACCTGTACACACTCCTTTCCTTGACTGTCTGGTTTGTCTTTAGAGATAACACATCATCTGTATACAACACTCCTACTGTAGGTGCAACAGCATGAACAAGGGAGAATCACGCTAGCTGTTTTCAGCTGAAGCATAGTACACATACCATATGCACATTCATGGGTAATGTGACCACACCAAACAAGTTAATGACAAGCACAGCTGAAATTAATTACAGCTTGTTTCGTTTCCCGGTGCTGATACAATGAATGAAACTTTGTCTCGAGTCCTGACACCAATAATGGATTTGTTATTTTTATCTGTAACATGTCAACAGGTTAAACAACATCTCTATCAAAGTATGCCTAACCAAGCACAGACAGCAAGATAGTGTGAACAAAGTTACTGAGAATCTACAGCAGTGATGGAAGGAACCGGACGACTGGTGAACAACAGTTTACTGCACACTTCTTGATCCAAGCTATCACATTTATCGAGTTAAAATATGGGTATTTGTGATGCTATCAGACAGTGCTGTTGTTCAACACTGCTTCAACAGTGATCCACAATTGGGATCCCAGATGTGGGCCTTTGTGTGCTGCAGCCCCAGATGGGACCACAGGAAAAATCTGGTAAATCATTCAGAGAACTAAATAAATAGACCACTGTTTTACATGAGTCAATAATAAAACCCAGTTTACAATGGGTAAAAGCCACTTCAAAAAAAGAACAATGTATTTTTGGTTAAAGAAAAGTGGCACAACTAGTGAGAGACTGCTGTACTTAAAGGGTAAAACATTTTCTGGCATCATTTACAATGTCAACAAGAAAAAGCAATCATCTGTCGTCATCAAAAGAGCAAATAATAAGGTTACACACACCTGTCACTGCAAGAGATCTATTAGACTAGGCGTCAGCTTGTGTACAGACTTTACGTGTGGGTACCAGGACTATGTTAAAAATGTGTACAGGCTCCACCTATTCGGCTCCCTCCGGTGAGGGACGGTGTGTTAAATGACCGAACCTGGTTGTGTCTAACATGCTCCTTGCTGTGGCGTTTGCCATGTACACAAATATGAGGTGATATTTACAAAAACTCAAAGAAAACATGGACCTTGTACAATAGTTTCATAACACATACTAAAATTAGCCCCTATGCTGAGTAACTAGTTACCTTTGTTATATCTTTGATTAGCTGTTACTTCTACTAAAAGTTACTTCGTGACAAATTAAGAATCTGCGGCTAGTTTCCTTGAGTATTGTAGGACGTATCTAGCGCCGTGAGGATGAGAAAGTTACAGGGAAGGTGTAGCTAAAACTAACGTTAGCCGGCTAGCGACAGAGATGCAAGCTTTGGAGACAGGAAACTATCCGTTTACTCAGCAAATCCACCCCACTAAGCATCGTATAACGGCTATTACAGAGAAGACGGACTAAGACAAGGATGTTACTTTAGTAAATGCAACGGACACTAAAGCTAGCTTTAAGTAGCTGTTGTTCTATAAGTTGACAGGAAATTGGTACTCACTGTCGGTGCGCCTGAAATTCCAGAAAACGTCCAGTTTAGAGTCCTGCCTCCTCCACGTAGAGACAAAATACACAGCGCTTGGAATACCTGCCCCGCCCTGCCAGTGACGTCACAGCTAGGCGGGTATGGAGTGTTGTGCGTGCCAAAACGTATATTATATAAAATATACTAGGTATTTTTTTCTGTAAAAATATTAATAATGACTCATGAGAAGCTTATATTTATATTAAATATTCATAATCTTGTACAAATTGATATGGTACATATAATATTTGTGCTATTGTATATACTCTATTATTGTGTACTCCTACTAGCAGTATTGTGTACTGGTAGTGCTGGACGAACTAGTCAGACTGTTTACTTAAGTAAAAGTAGCAGTGCCACAGTATAAAAAAATACTCCGTGACAAATAAAAACCCTACATTCAAAACGTTACTTATTAAGTAAAAGCACAGATGTTTTAGCATCAAATATATACTTACCAAAAGTAAAGGTAATCACTATGCAGAATGGTACATTTTACTTTAAAGTATATCATATTATTGGGTTATAAATACTGATGCAATATTGGGTACACCTTTATTCCTGCAGCTGGTAAAAGGGAGCTAATTTAAAATGTCTTATGTGCTTATATTTTGAATTACTGCTGGGAATCTTGTGAATATCTCACTGAGGATTATTGAAGTCTTATGATTAGTTTTATTTTATTAATCAGATTCTGAAAAGTAACTAGTGACTAAAGTTATCAAATAAATGCAGGGGAGTAAAGTACAATATTTGCCTCTAAAATGCAGTGAGGCTGAATTATGAAGTAGCAGAAAATGAAGATACTCAAGTAAAGTACAGATACCTCAGTACAGTACTTGAGTAAATGCACATAATAACTTTACATCTACGATATACTGTACTTTTACAAGGGTTTTAGCCACTAAGAATAAAGTTTGATTTAGCTTTCAAACCTAACTTCAAAGTGCAGTAAACAGAAAAAAATTGGGTGTGACCATTCTGGTACACTTACAGAGTTTCTTAAGGTGGTTGGTTGTTCCAAGGATCTCATAGAACCTGCCACGGTTCTTCTGTAGATTTAGGCTGTAGTTGTCATTGTCCTTTCAAGTATTCCGAGACTGAATCAATGATGCTGAGATCAAAGGTTCTGTGCTGCAAGACTCCTTCTCCTTGCCTCTTGATATAGTACTTTAAGAGACTGTAAGTCTGGGCCCATTGTCATGCTGCAGAATGAATTTGGAACCAATCAAATCACAACATTGTGTGGTGGACAAGAATCTAAACATGGAAAGTATCAAAACCTGTTGCACAATGTAAACATTTATTATCCTTCATATATGGTAGATAGTTTTTTCTTTTCTCATTGATACTTCTGTTTAAGTCTTTCTCTTTTTCTGCATTGTTCTATTTTATTTTTTACCCACCCTGTTTTTTCTAACTTAATTTATTTCTATGAAAATGGTTTTCTGTGTGTATTGCACTTTGTGCTCAAATGAGTTGTAAAGTGCTTTATAAATAAAGGTTATTATTATTATTATTGGCAGTGTAAAAACTGCATTTGATTGTGAAGTCTTGTATAATGACAATAAAACTGAACCTAAGTTATATTGTTGTTCTGACCTGTTTTCAATCCCTCACCAAGGTGAGGCATGCTAATACCATCTGGTATCAAGTCTGCATGTTACATGTGTACTTCATCCAAGTCGAAAGACATTGAACTAACTCAGCCTGGTAATATTAGGTGAACTGAAATGACTCATAAGTGTGAATGTAGGAGTGACTCTTTATGCTCTGTTAGCCTTGTGATAAACTGGACTGACCTGGACAGGGTGCACTCAGATTCTTATCCACTGTATAGGCTTCTGTTTCCCATGGCCCAGCAGATTTTTGTTTTATATGTATATCTTACTACTGTATAATTTAATCTGTTATGCATAATCTATATTCATTGCAATATTCTACATACATACAAAAGTTTTGTTCATATGCTGACTATTGCAGATACATCTCTGATGCAGCATACATTCTCTCTTATTGTGTTCTCATTATATTTTATATACTTTTTATTATATTTCTTTTCACTCGCTGTTTAAAGTGCCTTTAGATTTTGTGCTACTGTTTATCTACTTTATATTTCACTTGTGTTGTTTGGCATTCAGTGTGGACGGCAAAGTGAGAATTTCATTGTGCAGGGAAACATGTTTCCATACTGTGCATATAACAATAAACACTTTGAATTTTGAATATTCTGAGATCTGCTGAAGTTAAGGCAAGATATCTGAATCAGTCAAACCATCAGGAAAACTTACCAACCTTTAAGAGGTATACAGATGTACTGTAGATGAGGGCAGCATAAAATGTCTGTCTCTTTAGTTCTAGTTTAGTATCTAATGAATATTTGACCTCTAGTTTTGACTGGTGGCATCAAGATGACTCTTAAAAAGTAAAGATGAGGCCCCCCAAAAGCTAAAAGACTGGCCCTCAAACAAACAAAGTCAGAACAAGAACAGACTGAACTTAGTTTGCTGTCAAATTATAATGGCTCAAGGATAGTGAACTAATAAATTATTGATATCCACTGATGATGTTCCTTTGCAGTGTTACCTGCAAGAGAGTCACTGTTTGCTGGTGATATAGGGCCCTACAGAAGTTAAAGACATATAAAGCATGCTATTATTACAGTCACAAAATGTCACTGATGAGGCAAATCAGTGGGCATATGATTGTGGCTTTAGTTGCTCAAAAACAAAATCATATTTTTATCATGAAAAAATAGGATAGAAAGGAAGGTGAAATCTAGAGAGGAGTTTACCTCAGAACTTTAGCATTTTTGATTACTCATTGTTGTATCAGCAAAATAGCAGAAATGTTTAAAAACAAATACCAACTGATGAGAATGATTAGTGTGGTTAATGGCTCAACAACTAATGACTTACATGATTTACAGTGGCAGTTACAGGAAAGAAAGCAGAGATCAGAAAAAAAAAATACATTTGGTGATGTACAAAATGGAGACGTTGACAATGCTGAGGATACTATATTGGGTGGAAGCAGTCAAATACATAGACTGTATAGTCAAAAGAAATAAAGAAATTATATTTCCTTATTCCCATCCTGTGCATGAAAGTTGATATCACTCTTGCAGTTGCAAGAATACCAATTTGAAAATGCATTATTGCCAAGTAAATATGGGCTGCTTGTGCTGGGCAAAATGGGAAAGAAAGTCTGTATACTTTGGCAAAGCAATGTGTGATGCAATTAAACTCGTCCTGGGCTAGGCCTTAGATGGTAAAACATGCCTTAATTCAATGTGCTAGCCATAATGAGCAAAAGAAATAACTGTAGATGATTAGCAGAATTTGACAAAACTGCCCTGACTGTGGCCACATGATAGTATCGAAACTGAGGAGGGTAGCAATTCTTCTAGCCTGCCAAACCAAAGGAAAAAAAGTACCACAGTCACTTTTGCTTCTTGAGGTGGCAGTAATTTTATATGCTATCAAGGACCAGAGAAAGGACCTTAGACGATCCAGTAAAGACTGTCATTTAACTGCAAAAAGAAATGTTGGATTCATGTCTGAAGGTATATACTGATGGCTTTAAAGATTCTGCGACTTGAAAAACAGCATTTGGTGTATTTATTCAAGATTATCAAATCTGGCAAGGGCTGAGGCTTCCTGATCATACGTCAGTAGTTACTGCAGAATTTGTGGGCCCTCTAGTGGCTAGAGAATGTTTAACCACTGGAAACATTAGTTGGAAGTGATTCAGTTGCTGCACTGGGAGCCATAAACCAGGGGAGTTTAAAGGTCCATTGAAGGGTGGTGGTGGTAGCAGCAGCAGCAGCAGCAGTAGTAGTAGTAGTAGTAGACGAAGACGTAGAAGTAGAAGTAGCAGTAGAAGTAGCAGTAGAAGTAGAAGTAGCAGTAGCAGTAGCAGTAGTAGAAGAAGAAGGAGGAGGCGCCACCGTCGCTGCAGAAGAAGAAGGAGGCGCCACCGTCGCTGCCGAAGAAGAAGGAGGCGCCACCGTCGCTGCAGAAGAAGAAGAAGGAGCCGAATCAGCCGCCGTTGCCGCCACAGCTAAATAGCAATAGAAAGAGTAGTTTTGCTTTTGCTTGTGCTTGTGATTGGGATACGGGGCTCACATTGAGTACCATAAATTTTACCCGATTGCTTTTGTATCATGATACGATAAGGACTCGAAGAACTTCGGCTGTTTACTTGCTTTGTGATATGTATGCAGCAATGCTCAGGTAAAAACAACGGACTGAAATGCGGTTAGCTTTTGGCAACTGCAAGCTATCTTAGCAACTAGCTAGCTAGCGATATAGCTAATAGCCAACTGCAGAGATATAGGTAATTCCAATCATAATTCTGGTTTAGGTAGCTGCTGAGTTTTCTTGACATGTTAGAGGTAATGTTAGCTATTATTTCGTAGCTATTGCTACGTTAAAGAACATTTGCGTAAGATATAAGTACAAAAGCCAAACGTTGTCTCTCCTGCTCTTCAGAGATATGATCTAGTATAGGAATATGGAAGATATTCATGCTCAAATTCAGAATATTTTTGCAGAAAGGAAGGGAGAGCAAAATGGAATGAATGCTTTATTTTACTGCCATTTTGTTGCTGCAAATGCTTTGGCACTGAATATAACCTACTTTAGCTGAATGTAGGCCTACATGAAGGTCGTTTTTTTAATGCAGCCCCCTGATTGGAACAAACAAACAAACATAACACGAAAAAGAACAAAGCAGGTCGCTGCATTGGTTGAGTTGCAACTGTTTCATCAGACGTTGGATCCTTTAAAGCAGGGGTGTCAAACTCATTCGCACAGGGGGGCAAAACTCAAAGCACACTCTAGGTCACAGGCCGAACAGGATAAACATTTATTGAACAGACTAAAACTAAATGTTTTTTTAACATAAATATGAATCGAAACAGACAGGATACAATATTATTCCAAAATAAATAAACTTAAACTTAAAATATTTTGAATTCCATAAAATCCCTCTTGTCAAAATAACACAAAATCAAAATATGAACATGCTGCAAAAAAACCTGAAAATATAAATAAAATTTGTGCTTTTAAGTAAAAGTTAAAATAACAACAAATCAAAACATTCAACTTTCTTTGCTCTTATGCCATTTTGTCAGAGCTGGATGCTTGGCATTTTTCTTGGCAACAAGTTCTTTTATGTTTGGGGTAAGGTTCTGTGTTGTGGAGATTTTCAGTATGGACTGTAGGTGTTCATCAGTGAGACGACTCCTCTCTTGGCCATTGTTAGGGGCTAGCTTTGACTAAGTGTGAGGGTTTTCTTCAACATAAAGACTAAACCACTTGAACACAAGTATCTGGCTGGTATTCATTCACATATTTCTATACTCTGAGTTGATGAGGATTGCCTGAATGCCCTATTAAAAAGTGATTGCTGCATAACAAACTGTGGGATACCAAGAATCAAGAGATTTCCTTGTGTCTTGCAGAGTAGTTCAAAAGTGGCATTGCTTGGCTGCCATTGTTAAGCTTTGGAAATGTAACAGTCTTGTCAGGTTTTATTCATCACTCTTTGTGGAAAGCTAAAGCAAAATACTTTGTTAAACATATTTTCTTTTCATATTTCAAGGTCAGTGGATGTCTACTTTAACAGATTGTAAAAGTTGAGATCTAGCTTTTGAATGAGATTTGACTCTTCTGTCTTGACTGTAGCACCACTACCAGCAAACTGAATGTTCTGGTCAACAAGCTGCATGAGTACTTGGCTCACTCTACTGTTGAAGACAGCATCGGCACACCGACCTCGGAGGATGCTGATGGTACAACATTTGATTAATCTAATCTGGCCTGATTTTATGGTTTACAAACATTTTAATTGACTGTCTGTTTGCAGGTATAACAAATAGGAGCTGTTCTATAGGAAACTCAACTGGTTATACTGCGACAGAGGTAACTGATCATTCCTTCCTTTTTGTTATATCCCTTATTGAGATTTGTACGCTAGTAATGCTAATAGTGACAATAACCTTTTAACTGCCACTTCACTTCCATGAGTGTGTAGTTTTTCATACTTACTACTGAATCAGTACTATAGCAAAGTGGTTTTCTTGTGCTCTAATGCTTTATTCACATGGCTCATAGTCTCCTAGAATGAAATAGTTTGCATAACAAATTAAGTGCTGCTGTAGCTCCTGAGAGGATATTCCTTTGTGATAGTTTAAACACTAAAAGTGCCACTAAGTGCTGCCCGTAACTGCTAAATTAATGAAATGTTTTGCTTTGCAGGCAGTTGTGGATACCAAATACTCAAGGAGGTGAGCTGGTTTTTCATTTATTTCCAGTAAAGCATAAAGCGCCACAGAATCACACAGTCATCACTTTGTGTCTCCTTTAGTCTCAGTAATAATTGGGCAGCCTATATATAATTTAACCATACATTTTGTTTTTGGAATCAGATTGTAGTAACGTATGAAAACAGAGGTGAGTGCATTTGCACCTTTTTCAATGGGCTGACATTGTGTTGCAGCTATAAATACCTCTTTGCCCATTTGGCAGTACTTTTGAATTAAAAACACAAAAAGCAAATAAAAGTTATTATGTAATAGTTAATGTAACAGATGATAGATCTCCATAACCATTTGCGTACACATATAATGCTCTGTTTCCATCCCCACATTTGAAGACGTCTCACTCTGTTGGAACTACACAGAAGCACTCGGTTCACTCTGATTATTCAGTGGTGTTACAGAGTGATGCATCTTTACCTCATAAATGATCTTGGGCTAACAGCAGCCAGCGTGTTGTCTGTTTGTCCGCTGGCTGCAGCAAGGACACAAACTTTGCAGCAGCCACTTTCATTTTGTCCTGTCATCAATTAAAGTCATGGAGTGACCATTAGTTATTGACAGCTGGTCTGACCCTGCTGGTTGTCATTTTAACCAGAAAGATTGTGCGTGTCACTGGCACTACTGTGTGGCGGCGGTGGCTGTGGGGGGGTCTTGTATATTTGAATACTAAAATTGAAAACAGATGACCTGCCCAACTAACAAATATCTGAATAGTTGGATTTTCATGTCCAGCTCTATAGCTTATAATAGGTTTATGGTCCTTTTTTGATTTTTGAAACATTTTTGTCTTATTCACTGATATTACAGAAAACCATCTGTTGTCATAAAGCACTCTGGACTGGATGAATCTGGGGACTCAAATGCAAGTGACGATGTGGACTTGCCAATCAACGCAAATCACCTTGATATCACTAGACTGCCTAAAGGTAGGTATTAAAAGTTGTCTATTGCTATAACACTGATGCTTTGCCACTTGATGTGATTATTTGCTCTGCCTCATAACATTTTCTACACAAATAATGTAGAATAATGTCAGTTGTAGTTTGCTGCATGTTGTGTTTTGGTAGCGTAGCCTAAGAATTTGCGTGACTGTGGAAGTTTTGGGGGTTTGCCTCAGGCTGAAATGCTTATTGTCTTTGCTTAGTTATTTAGTACCTGTACTATATAAGCTTCTTTTTAACAGTAAATCTAAAAATACACTTATGTTGACAAAATTCAGTCATTAAAAATGTGTTGTTGGTAAGAAGTATTTAGGTCACTCTCCAGCTTTAGGTCATAAATGCATATTTAATAATGATGGTATCTTCTGTTTACACAGGCACTGTATTCGTCAGGCCTGAACCAGTTAATAATGGAAGAGATGACTTCAGGGGTCCAGAGTTTCGCAGTCGGAAATCCAGTGTACTGCAGAAAGAGTTGTCAAGAAGACGTGGAGGTCAGTTACTTATGGTTTGTCATAAAGATGCAAATTACTACATGACTATTTGGGCAGCCATTCCTTCAACACTGTTGGGGTGTTGGTCGTTGGGTGCGTCTGAAATTGCCAACTACACATGTACGTACATTTTTCTGTCGAATACCTACTACTCTAATGAAAATGCAGCAGGTACTGCAGCCACTCCACCATCTAGTAAGCACAACTTGGGACATGCTACTATGCAGTCATCGTACCACCAACTGACCCGGATGTTTACATGTGACATCACCCATTGGTTTACCGGAGAGTGGTTTTGAAGCTGAAGTCTGGTTGCTGCCATGTTGGTAGTGCTTCACTCCACCTGCTGCAGCTATAGTGCCTTGCGAAAGTATTCGGCCCCCTTGAACTTTGCGACCTTTTGCCACATTTCAGGCTTCAAACATAAAGATATAAAACTGTAATTTTTTGTGAAGAATCAACAACAAGTGGGACACAATCATGAAGTGGAACGAAATTTATTGGATATTTCAAACTTTTCTAACAAATAAAAAACTGAAAAATTGGCCGTGCAAAATTATTCAGCCCCCTTAAGTTAATACTTTGTAGCGCCACCTTTTGCTGCGATTACAGCTGTAAGTCACTTGGGGTATGTCTCTATCAGTTTTGCACATCAAGAGACTGAAATTTTTGCCCATTCCGCCTTGCAAAACAGCTCGAGCTCAGTGAGGTTGGATAGAGAGCGTTTGTGAACAGCAGTTTTCAGTTCTTTCCACAGATTCACGATTGGATTCAGGTCTGGACTTTGACTTGGCCATTCTAACACCTGGATATGTTTATTTGTGAACCATTCCATTGTAGAATTTGCTTTATGTTTTGGATCATTGTCTTGTTGGAAGACAAATCTCCATCCCAGTCTCAGGTCTTTTGCAGACTCCATCAGGTTTCCTTCCAGAATGGTCCTGTATTTGGCTCCATCCATCTTCCCATCAATTTTAACCATCTTCCCTGTCCCTGCTGAAGAAAAGCAGGCCCAAACCAGGATGCTGCCACCACCATGTTTGACAGTGGGGATGGTGTGTTCAGGGTGATGAGCTGTGTTGCTTTTACGCCAAACATAACATTTTGCATTGTTGCCAAAAAGTTCGATTTTGGTTTCATCTGACCAGAGCACCTTCTTCCACATGTTTGGTGCGTCTCCCAGGTGGCTTGTGGCAAACTTTAAACGACACTTTTTATGGATATCTTTAAGAAATGGCTTTCTTCTTGCCACTCTTCCATAAAGGCCAGATTTGTGCAGTATACGACTGATTGTTGTCCTATGGACAGAGTCTCCCACCTCAGCTGTAGATCTCTGCAGTTCATCCAGAGTGATCATGGGCCTCTTGGCTGCATCTCTGATCAGTCTTCTCCTTGTATGAGCTGAAAGTTTAGAGGGACGGCCAGGTCTTGGTAGATTTGCAGTGGTCTGATACTCCTTCCATTTCAATATTATCGCTTGCACAGTGCTCCTTGGGATGTTTAAAGCTTGGGAAATCTTTTTGTATCCAAATCCGGCTTTAAACTTCTCCACAACAGTATCTCGGACCTGCCTGGTGTGTTCCTTGTTCTTCATGATGCTCTCTGCGCTTTAAACAGACCTCTGAGACTATCACAGTGCAGGTGCATTTATACGGAGACTTGATTACACACAGGTGGATTCTATTTATCATCATTAGTCATTTAGGTCAACATTGGATCATTCAGAGATCCTCACTGAACTTCTGGAGAGAGTTTGCTGCACTGAAAGTAAAGGGGCTGAATAATTTTGCACGCCCAATTATTCAGTTTTTTATTTGTTAAAAAAGTTTGAAATATCCAATAAATTTCGTTCCACTTCATGATTGTGTCCCACTTGTTGTTGATTCTTCACAAAAAATTACAGTTTTATATCTTTATGTTTGAAGTCTGAAATGTGGCAAAAGGTCGCAAAGTTCAAGGGGGCCGAATACTTTCGCAAGGCACTGTAATCCACAAAAAAGGGACAAAGAGGTAGAGCTTCAGTGGAGCTTGCTAGACAGCTAGTGACCAGCCACCTATAGCAGGACCCCCCCACCTGTCACTTAAAGCGGCCAAGTCCTTAAATATGTGTAACTTTTAGTCTCAATATAATTTGAACCGGCGAGTTATAAAAAAAAAATCACCTCCTGTACAGCTGTCATGGAAGGGAAAATTGGTTATAGAGACCTGACCGTTTTTTGTACCAGGCTGTAAACATGTTTATTTCTGTTGGGCATTTTAACATCGTAGTCTCTAGGGACTGACTCCCTTTTGGAGCCATGCTTCATCTCTCAGCCTCAGAGGTTGATGCTTGGTGATAACGCCAGTCTTGTGTTCTTTATTCATTCATAATACTTAAATGTCCATGCAAATTCAGGGCGTAGTATGCTGAAAAAATGTAAAAGAAATCATCTGGACAGTTTTAGGTAGAAGACATTTCACCTGTCATCCAAGAGACTTTATCAGTTCTGTCTGACTGGTGTTGAGCAGGAGGTATTTATCCCCCTGGGTGGTGTTTCAGTCTTTCCACAGCCAACAATGTCCTCTAATGACTGAGTTGTTATGGTCTGGTATCAGTGAGAGTCGTTACCTGTCTTTGAATCCTCACATGTGGACCAACGCCTATTGCCCTGGTGTCAGTTAGAGTGGAAATGTACAACTCTGTTTTGAAATCTCTACCCAAACATTTCCACCATAATTCACACAGGACAATAGGCGTCAGTCAACACGTGAGGAATGAACGTATAGGTTACTGAATGTGATAATATGAGCACAGTAGCTACAGTTATGCCTGCTAGCTAGCTAGCTGGCAGGTTAGAGCATCACATCTCCAAAAACATCAGTGGAAATTTCTAAATTTGCATTACTTGGATAGACTGACCACATATTTGAAAGCTAGGTGGTTGTTTTCTAACCTACTTGTCTAATATACATGTTTTAGCTTTCTACATAGCAGGCAAGAAGGCAATTTCAGACACACCAATTAAGTCTGATATGCTGACTATGAAATAAAAATGCATCAAGTGCTTCACTTCTTACAGCAAGTGTTTTATTCTTACTAGCAGTCTTGTTCATGGACATCTTATCAGTAGAATGTGGAGAATTAAGAGGACTGAATAGGACAGTCTCACATATAAAAAAAAAAAAAAAAAGGATCAAACCATATATATTTATAAGCATTTTGTTGCTAATGACAGTGGTGCTCTTTCTTAGGGACTGAACACATGGGAATTGTCAGTTGCACGGCATGTGGCCGACAAGTTAACCACTTCCAGAGAGATTCATTCTATCGACATCCAGTTCTGAAAGTACTTGTTTGCAAGGTGAGTCTGCTTATTGATATGACAGAAACAAATCCTGTAATTTCATGTATTGGATCCCTGAAATTTTCTAGACATTACCTGTAGAACCCAGACATTAAGCGGACTCGATCCTGTCAGCTCCCTAGTACAAATTCCATGTAGTGTCTAATTGAGCCCTTGTGAAAATACTGTATATCAATGTGTAGTCCGGAGTATTCTCACTGAGCTAGTCGGTGTGTTAATGACGTTTTATCATGTTACTGGTGTAAAACCAGAAGGATGCAAACATCTGATGGTGAAGGAAAACAGTCATTCACAATGAAAACACCAACAAAAACATCTCATTGGAGACGCAACACAATTCGGAAACTTCTGTTGCTAAGAGCTGGCACCCAGAATCAGTAAGTTCTGACCCCCACCCCCTTTGGTTTTGTGGGGTGCCACCGAGAAATGTCACCAGTGGAAACACTAACCCCACTATATTAGATGAGCACACATAATTGGCCTACATTGTGAGATATCAAATATGAGTCACCAGTAACTGAATAAGTTACTTATGTTGCATAAAAATATGTGATTCATAGTCTGTCATTGTGATTGCTTTTGTTAACATACAAAATAAGAAGATACTTAGGAACATTTACAACTCTTCAAAAGTCAGAAACCTTGGAAAACACACCAAAAGCTATCCTGTCCTCAAGATGTAAAGTCTGTGGTTTACATGAGGTAGTGCTGATGAGTCTTGTAGAACATCATGCTTTGGGAGGGTGTCATTAATTTTGACAAGTAGTGATGTGAATCATGAGTTAAAGTCCTCCTGGTTGTCTGCTGCTGACAGAAATGTGAAACATTTAACTGTATAAAATGGAAAAAAAAAAGACCAGTTTTCTTTATTTCTATGTATTGCATCCCTGATGCTTTATCCTTTATCTGAGAGTACTTGTTTGCAAGTAATCTCCCCAGTAATATATAATGCATGAAATTGTGTAAATGAAATCAGGTTAAGAAGAATTTTATGTTTGCATTTTACTGAAATGATCATGATCCTGCAGCTTCCCAGTATTTGATTGGGCAGTTAAATTTTATTTTGCACCTTTGAGTGCAAAATAGTCATTCAATGTAATAGAAAAACACTAATGTAATGCAAACAAATGTAAAAATCCAGAGAAACCTTTGACTTTTGTCCAGGCTGTAATTAATTGTTTTGTTTTGTCAGTCCTGCTACAAGTATTACTTAAGTGACGACATCAGTAAGGATGAAGATGGAATGGATGAGCAGTGCAGGTAGAACTTGTTGTATTTTATATAATAACCGGAATATAAACATTCTCTTAAGTATATATTGTATCGAGTTTTTAGTATGTCTTTATTGTATCTTATTTTTAACTTGTGCAGATGGTGTGCTGAAGGAGGCAACTTGATCTGTTGTGACTTTTGTAGTAATGCCTTTTGCAAGAAATGTATTTTAAGAAATTTGGGAAGAAAGGAGCTGTCTGGAATCTTGGAGAGCAAATGGTACTGCTATGTGTGCAGCCCGGAACCCCTCTTTGACCTGGTGATGGCCTGTGACAGTGTGCTCGAGAACATGGAACGTCTGTGGCAGCAGCAGCGCAAGAAGAACCGAGCGGAGCCAGAGAAATCTGGACTTTACGACGCATTGCCACACGCAGCAAAAAACATTTCATTAGATAAATGGGATCACAGTGGTATGGATGGTAATGTGGTGTTCAACTATAACACACTGCAGATTTCCAAGGACATTACCAAAAAGGCCAAACATTTAGTGGACTCAGCAAACTCTTTAAACCAAACATTTATCAATTTCATTCATACTGTGACAACAAACAAACAGACACCTGCTGTTCGCCAGCTGTATTTGAGTTCTTTTATGTTGGTAGTCAAAGGCTTGCGAAAATCACTTAACACACTTGAAGATAGCCTTAAGGAAGAATTCAGTGACTTGGATTTTTCGAGCTGCTGGGAGAAGCTCCTTAGTGATGACTTTGATGCAAAACCTGTAACTGAAGCAGACACTGAACTGGATATTTCTGATGAAAGTTGCTTGAGAGACTTGCAGAAATTGGCAGGTGAACATTTGGATGATGATGATTCTGACTCCAAAGGCTTCATAGATAGGAGAGGTACACATGGCGGTCCTGGGGAGGACATGTATTCAGGTTCACAAGAAGCCATGCAGAGGACACAAAATACTGGCCTGAAGCTCTCTGAAGGTGGGGTCAACCTGATTAAAAAACTAGTAGTAAAACTTACACCTGTACCTATGGTGCAAGAACCTTCCTCTCATTTCCCAAAAATGGAGGACATCCATATGAAAGATAAAAAATCAGAGGGAAAAGATTCATCAGAAGATAAAGAGACGGCTGTTGTATGTGATAAAGCTGACAGAAAGATGATCGATGAAAAATCTAGTGCATCTCCACACCTAGAAGGGGAACATGGCAAGCGACGGTCTCCTCGTGTGAAGACGACACCTTTACGGCGTCCAAGTGATGTCAAGGCCAAAACGTGTCTTTCAGCAGCAGACAGCGATAGTGATTCTGACCCTGAGGAAACCCCCAGCTCAGCCAAAAACGCTGAAGAACAACATTTAAGCAGCACAAGAGATGACTCTGACTCGGATGAAGTCCCTGCAGCTCTGCTTGAGCGAGCAGCTATGATACAGAGTTCTGATGAACACCACAGTGACCAGGATGATAGAAAAGCATCTCCTACGGTGGCCAAGAAATATCTGTTTTGGCTCACTAAGAACACTCCAATCTCACCAGAGAAGATGCGCCACAAACGCAAAATGCTGGACCGAACCCCTGAATCTGACTCGCTTAACAGAAGAGTCAAAGTGCGAAGGGAAAGTGGGACAGATTCTTCTAGTGATGATCGTGACTTGCAGAAGAAAATAAAACACTCGAATGCGGTGAGGTCAATAGGGAAGCCTTGTCTTGTCAAAAGAAAGGAGAAAAGTGTGGCTAGAAATCAGGGTGGGATACAGCCTGGGAAGCATAACACTAAATCTCTTCAGGAAACAATGGAGTCGTCATTTTCATCGAGTGAAGATGAACATGACGACGACTCTGGCAGCGATGGAAGCGATCAAAAAATGAAGCCAATCACTGAAGATATGACCTTACTGGGGTCAACAGCATTCCACCCATCATCAGGTGAGTCTAAAAAAAACACAATATGAAGACTGTCAATTTGAAATTGGTCAGCTGTAGTGCTAAACCTACGAAAAATTCAGCAGGTGTATTTAGTCTTACCAAGCTTTATAGAGCTTCAGCTCATTGTTGAACTGTTGGTCCTGTAAATATACTGTTTGGTTCACTCTCACTGATCTCATGGGCCGTTTTTGGCTGCAGGATACAGCAGTTTTTAGCAAAAATGCCAACAGCATACCAAGCAGCAGATGGGCACAGTCAGCCACCAGCTGGTGAACATAGTGGGGCGTTTTGCAATTCAAGACATTTTTTTTGGGAGTCGAGAGAGACTTTAAATGGAACTAAAAGAGAGTGACTACTGGGCATATACAGGGTTTTCAGACCACTTGGGCACTCTTTGGGGGTGGGGGTAGTCAAAACTATTTGAAGGGAATTCTAACTTTGCTATATGAACAATTTCTTTACTTGTAACAAAGGCTGTATTCTGCTATTTATGTTATTACTATTGACAAGAATTACAAACAGTTGAAGCCTACTTCATGTACATAGCCTTTGTGGAGGCAGCTAAAAGTACCCCTTTGCCCAGTACTATGGGTAAAATAAATAAATAAAAATGCTAGTCAAAGTGCAGGATTCATTTTGAAATCAGGTCACTTCTCTCTTATTCAGTGCATATAACACCACTGTTTTTACAGTCATTCTGATATGTCACTTTTTTACATTCATTTGGTTTAGGTGCTCTGCAGCCACATTTGGGTGTTGTGCCAAAACCTTTCTATGGTAGGAAAGACCCTGCATATAACTGAGAGTCAAAGAGGACTGAAACACCACTCCAAATGAAAGCAAATATTGCAACTGCTTATTAAGTTTACCATATTAACTTAGAATGTGATGTCATTGATGTATCTTTATATTTCATGCTGCCCCACCGGGGCAAAAGTCAGTTATTGAATGGCTTAAATATAAAAGGTTTATTAATTACAGTAATATAAGAATGGTTTTTGGGGAGCCAACATTAATGGCATTAGCTCCATATAAGCTAAAGAATCTTTGAACAATAATGAAAAAAATTGTTTTGATTTTAGGGTTTCAAGAGCCATGTTAGCAAGGCAGCACAGCATTCTGTAATGTACAAGAAGGACAGACAAAGAAGAAAAATGGGTGGTGCTTATCTTGACAAGGGTGTCAAGGGAATCTGTCGGTGCCAAATTCTACTTAATGAGTTGCTCAGAGGCTATACTGTGACCTAGCAGTCTGCACATTTCTTGTTAGGGGATGATAAAGTGAGAGGTAGTTTATTTTTGCACCTCATTTTTTAATAACATGTATGTCTCTCATTTTTTGTTTTTGCAGGAGATGAGGAGCAATCTGGGCCCTCGTGGGCAGCAGAAGAAGATGATGATGATCTAGAAAATAGGTATGGTTCAAAAAGCCCAGATGTAGAGTTTGTAAAGCCCCCTAGGTGTGGGGGGAAGGCTACAACCTCTAACCCCGACCTCTGTGTAGACTCTAGAAACACCCTTGTCATTAAGACTCAGTTGCAGCCTATTCAGACACGACCCAAGCGTAGCTGCAGTCGAGCTCCATCAATGAAATACACGTTTTAGAGGTACAATGTGGCACATGGGACCCACATTATGATACAGTGAGACTGAACCGTGCTTAGAGGAGGCTTGCGAATGGTGGGAAGCATATTCGTACTCGGCTTGTTTGTTTTTTAGTGTCCATCCCAGTATACATGTACATACTAGATATACATTTTAAATGAATATTTGTATTATTTCTTATACTTGTATTCTTTCCCTGGTGTATTAAGCCGATACATTCGGGGAAACCTTCCATTTGAGCCAGTTTGCCCTTGAGGATTACAAATTTGAACAATAATCTTATTCTGCCTTAGGCAACCTGTTAATGTACAACAGGTGTGTTTTTAGTGACAGTATACAAGTTTTGAAGTTCCACTTGCGCTTTTCAGATAACTGAATATTATTTACAGGTGAAGTATAAAGTTTTGAACTTGCCTGCTGGTTTATTCAGATTTCAAAAGTGAATAAAATAGTGAAGTGATTTCTCTTCAGTTTCCGTACATGATTTGTATTTGTGAGCAATGTTTTGTGTACAGTTATTGAAGGCAAGGCTTGCAAAGTTGTAAGCATGTATAAACCTTTTATGCTTCACCTTGAAAATCATCTTTTTGATTTAACCCTGAATCAGTCCGTTGTGACTTTTTGCCTTTTTCATGACAAGATGGCAAAAGATTGTTTGTTGAATAAAATATCTGATACAATGTACATGGCTGTGTAAATATACTTCTTGGCTGCCCCTTAGTTTTAATCACAAATTATATTTAGTTATACTTCTACCACATGACTTAATGCTGCATTTTTCACAAGTGGTCCTGTATGTGATACCAGTGTTTATGCCCTATTTCAGATTAATACCTTTGTTCAGAAAAATATTATTATAATAATGGTATCAGGAACATCTGTACATTTCAGAATATGTTATATGGTTACATTTATAGTCCAGTAAACGCAACTTTCCAAACTTGAAAAGGCTTGTAAGCCTAAAATGTTTTTTATTGGTTATAAACAACCAAAGCCCCTAACGGCACTAACCATCAAATACCATAGCAGTGTCAGCTTTTATGCAAGTTATGGTGGACAGCAAAGTTAGCAGCCAGTTATAGCAGATGCAGTTTGTGGCCCATGTCAATGGACATTGTGTATTTGATTGTTAAATGGTGTTTTGTAGAGGTCTATTCCAGGGATCAGCATCAAGGTTGTGGTATTTGCATTTGGTCACAATGATGAATAATACATTTTGTTATGAGATAATACTGTGCTACGTCTTTAAAAGCTGGTTGATAATATTGGTAATATTTTCTTTTTGAATAATCTTTTTACTGAAGTTCTAGAAACTACAGTGACAGACCCCCGACCTCCCGAAACCAAACCTATTGCAGTTCATAGTGGGCTTTGGCTGCTTGACACTCTCTAGAAGCCTTGAGTGCTAATTTTTACCACTGTCTTAACTCAGAGCATGTAAACCTGCATGTGTCTGACACACTGAGTGAATTACTGGCTTCATGATGTCAAGAGTCTTAATTAAATACAAAATATTAGTCCCAATGTAAGTATTTGTATTTGGTTTATGACAGCCGGAGCTGTCTTTCAGCTTTCCTGCTATTTATTGATATCATCTTACTGTTAGTATTCCCTTTACATACAGTAGATACACGGCACAGACCTTAGGTCAAGTCCTTTATATATCTATAAAAAAAAAAAAAAAATTTGTGCTTCATAGTTTGCATCCAGGTGGCAACTCAAAGGGCTGGTTACACCAAATTATATAGCATAGTGGTGATTAGATGGCTGAGATGTCTTTGTTTATTTTTTACAATTTGTCTCCTAACAAAAGAGGTTTATACTTGTAGATTTCAGAGACGGCGTCATTTCGTGTCTCTGACTTTGGTGGTTTCACAGAGATTCTCTTAAAGGGTTGACGCACTCAAATTACAAAGACATTTTCTCACTGCTGTACCTAGTCGTATCAAGCGATGTAACACAGTCATGGATTTATCTTTGGAGATGTGAGATTTCTAACATCATCCCATTAACCCTCCTGTTATGTTGCGGGTCAAATTGACCCACGAACATAACTGCTTTAAATGAGACAAATATTTGATATGAAGAAATGAACTTAAAATGTAGGTGGAATAGACTTTGTAATTGCTGCTCAAGGCCAAGCCCTAGGGAACAGTGCAGGGTCTCTGCAGAGATTTTGACCTCCAATTTCTATGTCAGGTGACATACTCTTACACAGAAAGACCTTTCCCCTTAAAAAAAACATTACAAACGGGGCAGCAGTCAGAGAGCGCAAACCTCTGCCAAGGCAGTTGTTTCCCTGTAATGCCACTAAAAAATTTGGATCGCGACAATGATCCGGATTGCAACTGAAATATAATGGATTGTTCTGTTGGCAGTACCTCCCCAAAATAATTTGCTGTGAACAAACCACCAAACACTGATTAAAACCAACCTCCGGGGTGGAGGTAAATGCAGCTCTAAAACAATGAAGATCCACTGCTACGTGCATTCAGAAATTACTTTGTATATTTACAGGTTGAACATTGGTGTCAAAAAGTCATAAAAAGCTGCTTCAACATTGTTTTCTTGCCATTCAAGTGTGTGTCTTTCAGTTGGCAGCTTGGCCAGGGAAAGCTTCAGTTGTACGTGTGCTACGCCGTGTGTGTACAGTGAGCAACTGTAATTGGAAAGAATGGACATAGTGGAAGCTGTATCTTGCTCTCACAGTAATCTGTTTTCAAAGTGCTGAGGAATTGCATTTAAAAAGCTTTTCCTGAGACAGTGTCCTGACGAATCGGTATAATTTACAGACCACACTGCCAGCAGTGTCCATTGGAACAATCCTGCTGTTTGTGTTTTACCCCACTTTCTATGCACAGAGTATACATAACTGCTGACCATTTTCTAAAGCATACTGTAGCTTTTAAAGCTGATCATTGAATTTGCAGACACTTAAACCCTGCTTCACTGGTGATACAGCAGAGATCAAGCTCTTGCTTTTTTTTCTGAAGTTAAGTTTTGCTGATCAGATTTTGCTGATAGGGCCATTGTATATCTGAGATTTGAGAGTGGGCTGTGAAACTACAACCATTGCAATGCAAGACGTGACAAAATTATTGTGCCTTTAATGACATCCTTGTTTGTTTCTCATGTTTTTTCCAGGTCAGATTTTCTGACAGTACAGCAGTGAATGCAGTACTGTTAGCCAACCAACCCTTAAATCTGGGATATTGTAGCCTCCTAGTGATGATAGCTTGTTTTTTTTTTTTTGTCACTGTTTAGTTGTAGTGATAATCACAATTTAGTCTTTAGAAAAATGGTCAGCAGAAATGTAATGTTTACATTGTTTTGTAGTTGGACTGACTGAAACATCCCATGTGATAGTATTTAAAGTTTTGATTTTTTTTTCTATTTAGTCCTTCCCTGTTGAAATATGTTAAAGTAAGCAAGAGTCAACTGCACATTCTCAAAAGATCTGGATGTTCTTAACAAATATCACGGTTTTGTTTCTTAATGAGGAAACATGTCAACCAGTGCAGCGGTGTGATTCCCTGATGTTTTTAATCATTTTTGAACAACGATGGAGGTCTGTGGCATAGATGAATAAGCTAATCCAGGGCTCACAGACATTAATAATGAGTTCAGGCAAATCATTATTGCTTTTAGAATCTGCATGGGGAGTGTTGAAAACACTGTTACTATAGAAAATGACCGGCCTTATCCTGTAAATGAGAACCAAGGGATCTCTTACTGTTTGTGTCTGGAACTGCCTGCATATACTGTCATTTGACAAACTCTACCTTAATGCTAAATTTAACATTAGTGAAAATGGCTTTGATCCTGAGTCCATTGACCTGCACTGATGATCTGTTTTGAGATCAGGATCAGACCCGTGTGCGCAGGCTGACAAAGGGATGATGTGGAATGGACAGCTGACCAGAGAGTAGACATGCCTGAGCTAGGCCCAGGTCCAATTCCAGCTGTTTGATTCTCTGTTATCATGGGTTATTACATAAGCCCCCTGATGGGAAATGGGAGGTAGATGTAGCATTTTAAGAGGGCAACTAATTGAATAATGAGTGGCCAAAACAGAATATGGTATTAAAACTACAAACCTTTCCCCTTTTTGTTCTGTACTGTATTAAATTATGTACATAATTTCCTTATTTTGGAAACTTGATACTCCAGTGGAGTATAACAGGATTAAAATGGTTAAACATTGCAATCTGATTATATATTTATGTACGGACTTTGTTAGTAATGTGCTGTTTTTGTGTTTCACGTTTTTTCCTCCCCCTTTAAGTCAGTATTTATTATCTGGAAATGCCAGAATAGTTTAGACTCTGTGTTCAAGAAGCCTGTAGGTTTTCTAACTGTGAGCTGCCGCGGTTGGATGCACTACAGATTAATGCAACTTTTATTTTCACATGGAGAAAATGGACAAATAACTGTTGGACTCAAGGAAGCAAGAGAAATTGTAGGAAAAAATTTGTGTCCCTCCCCGTTTCGTGAAGAATTGTCTTTGTTTTTCTGTGAATAATATGTATTCATTGTAATAAATTCTTACTCTTAAAAACCACTTTGTCTCATTGCCATCTTATTTATAATATTATTTTAAATGTATGTCTTCCAGTGTTCACTTTAATTGGTCTTCAACTTGACCAGTAAAGCTTTAAGTTGGCAACAGTAATTCAGGATTGATTAGAGATTCTTGATCAGAGTTGTAATTAATTTCTTTACAAGGCCAACAGCTCAGACTGTCGGCTGCCTAACCAGTACTTAAAATGTTGTTGTTTTTTTTTGTTAAATATTAAGAGTCCAACTGCAATTTTGCCTTAAAGTGTAACAATATCCAGCTGAAGACAATTTTATTGGCCATGAAATGAACTTCAGGAACCTTTTCCTTCTTTTCTACTTTTGAAAGAATCGCTAAGAAAATGCTATTGGCCCTAATCAAAGCGAACTACTCCTCGGGTGATGATATCTCTTCAGATGAAGAAACACAGGAAGATGAGGAGGAGTTGGAGGAGGGTGACGAGGTAAAACAAGGCACTGAGGATACTGGAACAGATGAAAATGGTAAGTATTTTTTTTTTCTTCTTCAAAGTAGCACATTTCTCATGTACACTTATTTTACAAGCACAAGTGCTCTTTCCAGGTTTTAGTCCTATTAAACAATAGCAGAATTTGATGTTCTTTACAACCAAAGTTATGGCTAGAACGATTCAGAATTGCCCGCTGCTTTTTGTGTATTCTAAAAGGGAAGAAATGATATCACTTCTCTAGGTGAAGACTTGGCTTCAGAGTCATCTGACACCATGTCTAAAGCGAAGAACTCGAGGCATCATCTTCTCCGCCACAAACTCACCTTAGATGAAGGAACATCAAGTGACAAGCCTGCTGCAAAGGATGAAGCAGTAACACAGGAGCGCAAGAGAAGAGCCAGCAGGAAACACCTGAGCTGTAAGGACATCTCTAACATTAGAAACAACTGTCTGAACAGGCAGTACCTACCTTGCCCTAATGTCTGATACTGATTTTTGTCAAGCTGATGGTGAAAGTGATGTGAGCACTGAGTTGGAGACAGAAGAATCTGAAATGAGTGAGGAGCTGAGTCTGTCAGAGGATGAGGCCAATGATGAACAGCTCAAAAGGTACCTTCTTCAGCTGCTGCTGATAACATTAAAAAAAACATCAGCTGTGATTTTCAGTTATATTTAATTCAGTATTGATCTGCCCTGCCTTTACTGGATACATCTAGAACTGTTTGAGTCCTTCACTTGCGTAACAGTATGATAAATGGTCTTATACTTGTATAGCGCTTTTCTACGCTTTACAGCACACTCAAAGCGCTTTCACACTACTTGGCCATTCACCCATACAAATGCACACACTGGTGTTATCACCAGGAGCAAATGGGGGTTCAGTGTCCTGCTTAAGGACAGTTTGACATGTTGACAGGACAAGCTGGAAATCAAACCGCTAATCTGCTTAAGGACAGTTCGACATGTTGACAGGACAAGCTGGGAATCAAACCGCTAATCCTCCGGTTAAGAAACCACCTGCTCTACCTCCTGAGCCCCAGCTGCTCCTGTGCAGATCAGTGTCACCATGGAAAAATACTCCAATACATGTAAAAGTCCTGCATTCATAAATGTACTATTTATTAATTTTATTTTCATTTATGTAAACTCTATTTACTATTTTACTCAGTGAGAGTGCAGAATAGGTGAGAATAAAATGTATGTGGCAACAAATGCTGAAATGTTGCATAACAGTAGCACAAGTAGTGAGGGGTTACAAATTGAGCAGATTGACTCAGTAAGGTCTGTTAAACACCAGTAGCTAAAGTTGGCTAACATTAAATGAAAGAGCACGCTCATTCATAATATAGGTGGCACAGCCAACATCATCATCGCCTGGGTGATGTTACAGTAATGCAGCAACAAATGTCATTCAGTTCTTTGATTTAAAAGAAATGTGTACACTGATAATCTTTTAATATTATGTAATGTCTTTTGGTAGGCCTACAGTATGGCATTGTCGCTGGGCATAATGCACGAGATTACTTTAGACTGTACAGTTGTTCATAACATTACGCCCAGTTGCCCATCCTCGCTGTACCCTGATTCAGTAAGTTCATTGCATGTTTCTGTAATAGAAGCCAAGAACATTTAACAGACAGGAAATTATGATGCAAGATGTAATCGAGCACAGATCAAGATTTAATTTACAGAAACAGATGTTTTTGTGTTAAATATTTAATTTCTTTTTGCTGTAAGAAAAACCAAAAATTGTCAACCACATTCCTCGCTGTCACACTGGCACTTTACTCCTGAAGTAATGAATAACATTACTGCAAAGCCAGTGCTTTAGTATCCACATCGTATATATTATATATGTTTTAATGTCATTTCTCATTCTCTCCTCTTTTTAGCTCCAAATCCTCCACTAAAGTTAAGGAAGCGCCATGGTCTGACTCCAGCAGTGAAAAGGTGGTGGCTGATGTTGTCGCTCTTTCATTCCTGTATTTGCTCATTTCCAGTACCTCAATAGCAGAACTGGCTCTGATGTCTAATGGTCGTACTGCTTATTGGTTCTTTTTGCAATTGAGCAGGACAATCAAGAGGATGACATTGAGGAGATCAGTGATGGTAAAGGCACCCCTAAAGGGCGCAAAAAGATCCGCAGAATCATTGAAGATGTGCATCTTCGTGCCGAGACCCAGGAAGCGCTGAGAGAGGAGGAGGAGAGATGTAAACGGCTGGCAGACAGGGAGCAGCAGATGGAGGACAGGAGAGAGGTATCACACACACACAGCTGGCCCAGCTGGCCAATCCAGTGTACTGTGTTGATGAGCAGTGGATATTTACAGTGGTTTAGTTCTCACATTTCTACAGCACGATGTGCTTATACAGTAAAATGCTATATTCCTGTTGATGCATGACAATATACACAACCCATGAAAATTACAGTAGGTTGCTGACAGTAGCACCTCTTAGGAAATGTCAGTAGGTTTGGGATTTTCTATGCTGAGGAGCAAAAACAAACTGCTGACTAAGTCGTTTTCCAGATAATTGAAATAGAGGATGAGCTGTCTCAAGTGGTGTGCCCTGTCACCACCAAGCTGGTCCTGGATCAGAACAAGGAGACCAAGGAGCCTCTGGTTCAGGTGCACAGAAACCTGGTGACGAAACTGAAGCCTCACCAGGTGGACGGTTAGTTTGTACTCTCTCTTCATCTTGCTCTGCCGTTATGCACATTACAGGCATGCTAACGGCAATAGCAGCACTAAATAATTCAAATAATTTATATATGCTAATCAATAGCTAACTTATAGAACTGATTAAGGCCTTAATAAGCTGTGCATTTTCACAGTTATGTCCCATTTTTGTGTTAGAGAAAATGTGCTCACTTTATTCTCCAACAGGTGTTCAGTTTATTTGGGACAGTTGTTGTGAGTCTGTGATGAAGGCCAACTCTTCTCCTGGAACAGGCTGTATACTGGCACACTGCATGGGCTTGGGGAAAACTCTGCAGGTGAAGACATAAACATGTGCACTTCCAGTGTTCTTGTTTTCTTTGATTTATTCTGGATGAATAAATGTACCAAATATTTTGAAGTCACTGGGGCTGCTGCTAATTTTACAAAATCGAAAGACACGATTTTCTGCTTATTTTATGTGCCCTCAACCCACCCACCAGGTGGGCCAGTGGAGCAGCTTCCCTTAACTTAGTGTATATCTTGTAACATCACTGTGTGGGCTTAACTGCACATTATTGTCTGTGCTTTCTTATTCTATAGGTGGTAACCTTCCTCCACACAGTGCTGCTATCAACAAACCTGAAATTCAAAACAGCCCTAGTTGTGTGTCCACTTAATACTATCCTCAACTGGGTCAGTGAGTTTAAGAAATGGCAAAATAACATGGGAGAGGATAAAGTCAAGGTACACAAAGCGATTAAAATGTGTTAAATCATAAATGGACAACACTAAATGTTGTGTTTGATAAGCTTTATTTCTCACTCCTGGTTATTGCTCAACCACACAAATATGTTACAGGTTACAGAGCTGGCTTCAGTAAGGCATCATCCAGAACGACTGGAGGCTATGCGCAGGTGGCAGACAGGAGGTGGTGTTTTGATAATGGGGTATGAGATGTACCGCATCCTGTCACTAGGCCAGAAAATCAATGATGAGGAGGGGAAGAAAGAGTTAAAGAGCATACTGGTGGATCCAGGTACAGTGAAATGATGTTATTAAAACGTTTCCAGTTTTATGTGTCATTCCTTTGCTCATTGAAATGGTTGTTATCTGTAACAGTTTTCTCTCCTGTTTTTTTTTTTTTCCTCCCAGGTCCAGACTTTGTGATTTGTGATGAGGGGCACATCCTACGCAATGATGCATCAAAGATCTCCAAAGCTATGAATGCCATTAAGACACGACGAAGAGTGGTACTGACTGGCACGCCGCTGCAGAACAACCTGGTTGAGTGTAAGTCTGCGCTACCGTGTCAAATTAAATATATGAGGTCACACGTTGCTTGATGCAATGTTGAATAAAATTCAATTGCAGGCTTTTTCTAACAAAATAACAAGAACTATAACCATTTGTGCTTCACTTTTAGATCTAAAAGTGTAGGAACGATATTTTGACATTTTATTTTGAAATGAAACCTTTTCCCACTGATGCAGCTTATTTTGTCCCCACAGACCACTGTATGGTCAGTTTCATCAAGAAGAATCTTCTGGGCTCACTGAAAGAATTCCGAAACCGCTTTATCAACCCCATAGAGAACGGCCAGTGTGCCGACTCCACACAGAAAGATGTCCGACTCATGAAGAAGCGAGCACATGTACTCCATGCTATGCTGGCTGGATGTGTGCAGGTAAAAGAAAATCTACTACCAGTTTCACACAGTCTGTACATGTGTATATATAGAGTTTGGTTTTATATTGCAGCTCTCATGACACTGTTCATCTTTTTCCCAGAGAAGAGATTACTCTGAGTTAACTCAGTTTCTACCTCCCAAACACGAGTATGTGCTGGCAGTGAGAGTTTCCTCACTGCAGTACAAGTTGTACCGCTACTACCTCGACAATGTCACTGGTAAGAATCTGTCTTCACGTTGTTGCTGTAAGGAATGTAGATGTACTGTAATTATATGTTTAGAGTAAATTAAATGTTAAGAAAATTGACATGACTAAGAGAAGAGTTCACAAAGTTGATTGTGATTTTTCCCTTTACAGAATTAAAGTTGTTGTCACCGATCATCCAATGACATGATCTTTTTTAAAATTTCATTAAATATAGGGATTCAGCCATTTGAAATAGATATATGTATACTTGTTTATCCAGGTGTGCATTCCATGGCCAACAAAGCAAAAGCGCGAGGTGCAAGCCTGTTCAAGGACTTTCAGGTACTCAGCCGAATTTGGACTCATCCCTGGTGCCTTCAGCTCAACTACATCAGCAAAGAAAACAAGGTACCTTGAGCACATGTTGATTTCTTATTAGTTGGACATAATTAATTTAAAATATTAGTCACCACTTAACTGTATTTTTTATAACAGGGACATTTTGAAAAGGATCAAAATAAAGCGGCACCTCTGACAAATGAAGAAACTACCGTGGCTGAGAGGTAAGCAACACTATGCTCATAGTCACACTCTGCCTCAACTATTTACTGTGGCAGCACCTTTCATTTCATATATTTATTCTCCAGTCAAATGTGTGGACACACCTTCCCATTCAGGTTTCCAGACCTTTGCCCGGTAACAGACATCCTCCAGCAAGACACTGTACTTTTCCTACTTTTGGATTGTTCTTTGAGCTGTTTGTAGTTTTAAGATTTGTATGCACATGACTGATAAGGTATCGTTTATGATGTGGCTTTTGATGTTTTGTGTAGGATTTGTAGATATAAAGTGAAGTGTGCTTTCTTATCCTTAGTTGAAGTTATTTCACATTTCTGTGGACATACTATGTTCTAGCAGGTATAGGCTTCACTGTGCCTCTTTTGATGTTTAGTTTTCTGTTAGCCTTGGGAAAGACTAGTTGTGGTCGAAACATCCATTATATTAATTATGGAAGTGTAGTGTATGATTATCCTTATTTATTGATGTAGGATTGTATGTCCAATTCTGCTTTCTGACTCTGCTATTTAGTGTCTCATTAAAGCTGCACATCTAGTGGCTTGTTTAGTCCGACTCCTGGGACCTTTTAACTTCCTTTGAAAGCCATGTTCAGTTGGTTACAGCAAATCAAGTGGACACTTGTGCAACTTGTAGTGTGATCAAATGGAAACAGTGACACACAGAATAGCACTCCACCTTATTTTTATAATTGTCAATTTATTTTCTTTTTCTCTGGTGTAGTGAACAGAATGGGAATGAAGGACAAGAAGGGCACAACCCTGACAACAGTGCAGCGGTGATGGATGATGTGTCCAAAAGCTCTCCAGCAGTGGAAGGTACTAAAGCAGTGTGTGTCACTGTTCCTCCAGCCCTGTAGTATGTTCACTAACACAGCTTGTCTCATGTTATATTCTGTGTAGCAGAGAAGGCAGCCATCAGCTCAAGGCCTCAGAGTCTAGATGAACACTGGTACAAGAGCCTGGTGTCTGAAAGGGACGCCAAAATCCTGCACCACTCAGGGAAGATGGTGCTCTTGTTTGAGATCCTCAAAATGGCTGAGAACCTGGAAGATAAAGTGTACGTTTCTTGTGTGAGCTGAAGCAAATTCAAATAGAGAAACACTGTAAGTGGCCATGACATCTAATCAAATCTATTTTTGTATTTTAAGGCTTGTCTTCAGCCAGTCCTTGATCTCATTAGACCTAATTGAGGATTTCCTTGAGGCTTCTCACAATGCCAGAGATCCATCCTCACACAAAGGTATCATGCTTTTTCTGGCAATGAAAAAACTTTTGGACAGTGTCTTACCTGATGGTACGTTGTTTTAGATTTGTGTGCTCTCTTGCACTAACAGAAGGCAGCTGGATTAAAAACATTGATTACTATCGTCTTGATGGCTCCACCACTGCTGTGATAAGGAAGAAATGGGCAGATAAGTTCAACAACCCTGCCAACGTCCGGTACTGATTGACTGATTGTTGTATCTTTTATATTAATGGTACTGAAATAAAAAATCTTTTGATCCCATTTTATTCATGTTTATGGTTCAGTGGCCGGCTGTTTCTTATCTCGACGAGAGCTGGCTCGCTAGGCATCAACCTTGTGGCTGCCAACAGGGTCATCATCTTTGATGCCTCATGGAATCCCTCATATGACATACAGAGCATATACCGGGTGTACCGCTTCGGCCAGCTGAAGCAAGTGTTTGTGTACCGCTTCTTGACTCAGGTAAGCGCACCAGTCTTCATGAATGTCCCCTAAAATGCGACTGTTGAAGTGTGCTCAGTCTGATCATTTACTGATGTTGCTATTAAACTAAATCAAATTAACACAGTAGACGATCAGCCTCGTCATTTTATTATCCGTTATCTAAATAACCGATTATGTAACCTAAGGTCTTCATATGAAGAATATAAAGATTAAAAAAAGATAAGTTTGAGAATGATGGATGACTGTAGAAATTAAGTGACATTCCTTTATTATAATTTGGCAGAAAATATTAATTCATGAACACTAAATGTTGAAAAAAAAAACACATGGATTTCCTGCTATATTTTTACTCAACTAATAAAACCCTTCAGTCCTGTCTCTTTTTTTTTTCCTCCATGTCCAGGGCTCCATGGAGGAGAAGATCTATGATCGTCAGGTGACCAAGCAGTCTTTGTCCTATCGAGTGGTGGATCAGCAGCAGATCGAGAGGCACTTCACCTCTATTGAACTGAACGAACTTTACACATTCGAGCCGGACCTGCTGGATGACCCAAACTCTAAGAAAAGCAAAAGAACCACCTCTGTTTTGCCAAAGGTAACACCCCTGACTCTATTTTAAGGTTTGTGCCTTGATGTCACAAACATACAGTATATAACAAAGGTATGAAATTACTACTTTTGTTTGTTTCTCAGGATCATGTTCTGGCACAGCTATTACATACCTGTAAAGACCAGATCGTGTCATACCATGAGCACGAATCTCTGCTGGACCATAAAGAAGAGGAGGAGCTCAGTGAAGCAGAATGCAGAGCTGCCTGGGCTGAGTACGAAGCTGAGGTAAGGAACTGCACACTGCAAAGTATGATCTCTCATGAGCAGCAGACATTATACACAGTGGTTTAAATTATTGTATGTGCCTCCTGTATGTAAATGTCTTTCCTTCAGTCAAACAAGACCAACTCTTCAGTCACCTTGAGCCAGGACACCTTGGACACGAAGACCAATGAACAGCTGCTGGTATAGTTAAAATTTTCTACAACCTTTTCTAACTGCTGCTGCTGATGTTTGTGCTTTATACTTTGTGTAACGTAAAAATGTCTTTGCAGGAATTGCTGAACAAAAGCAGAACAAACGTATCTCTGGCCTTCATGGCATGGCAGAGGGTGAGGTGTCACACCCTTGAGGACTACACATTACAAGTGGTGAGTGGCCATATGGCCGCTAGGTTGTGTGGTAGAAGAAGTATTTAAAATTAGGGTGCATTTATTCAAATAATAATGGAAAGGAAAGGACAACTAACACCTACATTGTTTTTCAGCTATTCAGCATGTTCATAATCATAACTGGATGTTGTTTTCAGCTTATGAGTGATTGAATACACTACCTGTGTGGGCTTTGGATTGCTCACTGTTGAAAAATTTTTTTTTTGTCTCCCATTCGGGTAGTGTTGGGTTCATTCATTGATTCTATAGTGCAATAATAATTACATTGTCACATTGAGTTTGTGACAAAGATCAGCAACAGTGGTGGCAAAAGCCATACTTTAGTGCAAAGCACAACCAGTTTGTTCGGCGCTCATTAACAACCTTTTTTTGACCTGCTGTGTGCACACAATGCATTTGCACTCAGGGGGTGGCCAGTGTGGCCTAGAGCTGCTGGAGCGGTCAGTCAGCACAAACTATTTGGTTAATTGATCAATTATTTGGTTAATGTTTTAAATAAAATTATCAACTCTTTCCTAGTTCCAGCTTTTCAACAGTGGGGACCAAATGCTTTCGTCTTAAGTGATACCACAGGATTTTTGACTGTTGCTCCGACAGAAGCAATTTGATCACATGACATTGTGCTTTTAGGGAATTCTTCAGTTTTCTGACTATTTAAAGACAAGTCAATTATTAAGGAATAAAACTGGCAGATGAATCAATAGTGAAAATAACTGTTCCTAAAACAAACACCCCTGCCACAGTATGTGTAACTTTACATACATACGGTACACATTTTGAAAAGTAAACTGGGAAATGGATTGGTTACAAAATCAGTGGGTAAAATAAACAGGAACATCCATTTTTGCATAGTCCAGCAAATATAAAAATCCAGCGTTACCATAAAGCAGTCCAACTCACTGATTTGCAGCATCCCCACAACTACAAATGTTAAAGTGAAAGCTTGGCCGTTTGATCATCATCTCACAGTATATGCTTGTCAGCCACTTTATTAGGTACACTTGTACAATTGGATGTAATTCAGTGCAACACTTCTGCTTTAACATCTGTGTTTATGAAGCTTGATTTTTGTCTTCCCCAGCTAAATACATGAGGGTGAGAATATTAGCAAAACCTCTATATATAATGTAGTCTAGTACAACACCACCTTTAACTATGACCTCAATAACAAACATAATTTAATGTGTACATCTGACAATTTCACCAAAAAGTGGAACATTTTGAGCTTCATAAACACAGACGTTAAGGCAAAATGTTGCACTGAATTTTTTTTTTTTTTTTTGTATTGCAGCACATTACTTGATAGATGAGATGCAAATGGCTTACACCTACATTTTACAGCTCGGATCAGTTGTTCAACATTTTCTTTACTTTGTGTGTAAATGTATTTATTTATTTTACAGCAACAACAGTTTCCTCACCTGCCTCTGGACCAGGTTGGGATCAGGGCTCAGATTTGGAAACTGACTGATGAAAAGACGCTGGAACAAGGAAAGGCCTCTTATCAAGATGCTCTTGCACAGCAGCAATTAGTAAGTCAGTTTTACGTGTGTGTGTACGTGTGTGTGTGTGTGTGTGTACGCCTGTACACACATATAAATAGCTGTTCTCATGTGTCAATCATGTTCCTCCACAGCTGACGCGCAACATTCAGGCCATACTGAATAAACGAAGGACCCAAGTGCTACAGACAACTGTGACCACGGCAAACCAGCCTGGACAGACTTGACATCACTGTGGCGGTTTCTCACAGAATGTCCACTTGCCTTACACTTTACTCGTAATGGTTTGCTGTTGAATTTTTTAATATTGTTAGTTTCATAGCAGTTCTTATAGTTCTTTATTAAATTAACAAAATAAATACAATTGGTTCTTGTAGTGTATTTATCTATGGTTGTGAACCATCAACTAGGTTCAGGCCATGACAGATGGATAATGTTTTCTTCTGTAGATATTTTTGAAAGTGAAAAGAGACCTGTTAAGATATAAAAGGAACAGACCTCATGTTTAACAATTTCCTTATCTCTTCAAGAATACATCTTCTGTTTTTGTGTAAATGGAGCTTTAACATTGTGATTCAGCAGCTTGCTTGTTTCTACACTGGTTAATGCCAAGTTAACTTTCCTCATTCCGTAAATAAACCTAAGGCGAGTTTGTCTCTCTGCCGAGTGTCCTCGTAGGAACAGAGCAGCTGTTCAGACACTGAGCAGCTCCCCAGAGAGGAAGGCTCAGTGCTCTGATGTTTATTTAATTAATGAAACTAAGCCAGCTGCTGCAGTTGAAACCTTTCAAAAGCTCCACTTCAGCTGAAAGGAAAGCAATGTGTACAAAACTGTACAGGCCCAGAAAAGATCATATGCTTTAAAAATGTCTTTATACAGAGGATATGTTTGTTAAATTACATTTTCAGGTGGCATAAAAGGTATTAGATTGAGAAAGGGGAGTAACAGTCTGTGCACATACAGTTTCACAAAAAAAAGAAAATCTAACATGAAAGAATGTAACTGTCAATTTCATGGAAAGAAAATGTCAGTCAAGGATGAAAAATTATTTATGGACTGAGGTTCTGCCAGATTTTACATCCATGTACCTTGTTTAACTGGTTTGGTGAAGTGTAAAACTATGGATGACACTACACTCAGACAGCCTTTTAAGTTAATAAAAAACAAAAACTGTATTAAAAATGGTTTCGTTCCACAAAAGGTAGTCCTTCACAGTGATGGCTATAGTTTCCTTAGGTCTAGGAAGTCTGACCCTCTGGAGGGAGTTCTGGTCTCTTACATGAACACATATACACTGGTAACCTGCACCGTTGTGCTCGGTGTGTGCCCTGCAAAGAAATATGGTCCGAGGTCCAACCTGTGTTAGTGTCCTGTATCCAGGTCCCTCATATATTCCTGAAGTGCCTGTAGCCTGGCATCAATCTCTGACAGCTCAGCTTCTGTGTCTATAGAGGTCTCTGGAGACAGACATGGGGAAATGATAATTAGAGCTGGTGTAGCTACATATGTTTTCCTGTTAAAATCATTTTATTGCAGCTAAATGTAGATGGCTTCCATGAATCACCTTTGTCTTTCACTCTCTGTGTTGGAGTACTGCATACTGGCTTCCTGGTTAAAAGGCGTCCTCTTGACTACAAACAGAAATTGCACATTAAAGCATGAGGCCAGTGATATTGTAGGTTTTCTTACTGTCAACAAATCCCATGAAAAAGCAGAAGCCAACAATCTAACATGTACTGCCTGTGTAGCCTAAGCACCATACTGTATATATCAGCATACTTCTCTGCACCATAGAGCTCCACTGTTACACAAAAACAATTAAAAATAAATCAGTATGCTACATGTTTACACTTTTCATCTTATTTTTGAGTTAATCCTACATACATTCCTATGGATTCTCACTAGCACACCAAATAAGTATTAATCTATGGCAGAAAATACCAGTTTCTTCTTGAATACATTTTGGTAAAAACTACAATTCCGAGATGTTTTAGGAAATTCCTGCATCTCTTTGAAAACCAGTTTTAAAAGATTTACATCCTTTAATGGGATCTGTTGACTGTAAGACAAATATAAAATAATCCCAACCTACAGTATGTTCTTTAAATATACAAAATGACAGCGTGCCCATATCACTCACCATGCTGCGTCCATTGCACGTCTGTTTTCTTCCTCTGTCAACAACAGGAAACCTGATGTTAACATGACCAGCTAAAACAACAGAGACCTCACAGAACCCTTGTGGGGTAAATCCCATTACCTGAACAGAGTTTTGGCCATTTCATCCATATCTACTAACGAGCTTTCAGAGGAGTTCCTGCTTCCTCTCCGCTCCACAGATAAACTCCTGCCTCTACTGCCAGACCGGGCCACCGGAGGATAGGCCTCTCTGGAACGTGAACGCCCCCTCTCAGGGATGATGGGTGATGCCAGAATGTCTCTCCGTACCTTCCTCTGTCTGATACAGAAAACACGCTTAAGATTATTGACCCAAGCGGCTACAGCATTAAATACTGGTGTATGGAAGGACACTGCATTCACCAAAGAAAAAAGGAGGAGCTTGTAATTATGGCTTACTATCTCATATTTACAAGATCAGGATCTCAGAATTCTGGGATCTTTTTCTCTTAATTATGAGATCATGCAGGGGTTGGAACGCTGCAGAGCTGAAAATCAAGTTAAAACAAATTCTTTAGTACCAGAGTAATTCAGTGATAGTTGTCAGTGCATCCAATAGTGCATTTCAGAAGTGAACTGTTAATAATTAATTTGGCATACTTAGTGTTCCAAAATGTAAACAAATATAGATGGGGCTTAAAGTTGCTGCCTACAGTCTCTCTCAATATTGGCTTATACATGTACTGAGCAGGAGTTGGAAAGCTTCAGAACCTGCATGAGAAGTGCAGAGTTTTTAAGATTTCTTCAGTAGACCATTTATGTAATTCTGACAGCTCATCCAACAGTAAGACAGGTAGCAAAATGCTAATAGCTGATTCTGCATACTTAGTGTTCCAAAATGTAAACAAATAGATCTATAGCACCCACATGGTACCCATGGCAACATTACCTAGCCAACAGCCTACTTCCTGTTTCTTGTCGAAGTTTATATCTGTTCACATGATGACTGTTAACGTTTAATGTTTAATGCTTTGTCATAATTACGAGATCCAGAGATCAGGATTTTGTAACAGGATGTAATTTTTTGCTGTGTAAGTAGACAGAGGTGTTATACGGTGCCTGATTTAACTGTCTAGATCCAAACAAAATATGTTTAAGAAAAAATGACAGAAGCCAACTTTTTGAGTTCTGCCTCTTTCAGTCTGCGCTGCCTGTCCTGGATGTAAGCAGTCGGATCAAAGCGTGGCCCCCGTGAACCTGTAAGACAGTAGGCAAAAATAAAAACTCAAAACAGAAAATAGTACTAATTCCCAACTGAAAACTAACAAACCACCACAGCCAGTACCAGTGGGAGAGGGTGACGGCCTAGGTATGCGAGCACGTGGCCCTGAGGAATCCACTCTTCTTCCTCTTTCTTCTGCCCTTTGTCCTCTATCCTCTCTCCGGTCTCTGGATCCTGAGCGAGCACTGACCGTCCCACACCCCGACCTCCTCTCGCGGGAGAGAGAGCGATAGATTTCCCCATCAACTCGAGAACCGATTCGACCGGACACAGGAGTTACTCTCCTGCAGACACACAAAGAGGGGTGGTTCCTAAGTAGTTAAATAATATTTGGACATCAAATGTTTAATCCCATTTTAATTGAATTAATGAGAGAGAGAAAGTAAAAATATAGTACACGCTTAGATTGTCTAACCCTCTCTGCAGCAGTGCCAATTCATTGGTGAGACTCTTGACACGAGCACGGAGAGCACACTCTGATGCCCTCAGCTCCTCCAACTAATGAGATCAGAGGAAAAAATTTAAATCAACTCAGTGATACAAAGCAACATATGTATTTTACAGATGACTACTGAGAAGTAGAAAAGCTCTACCTGCTCCATTAGGAGTCGCTGCTCTTGGCATCTTTTGCTTGCTGAGTGCTGACTTTTGGCCCTCTCCTTGACAAGTTGCTCCTGCAGTGTCCTCACCACATCTCTGACCCTCCAGTCCTCCTGTCCAAGTGTGGAACCGCTTGCACTGATCTGCAATCGCTCCAGGACAGTGGCCATGGCCTCATTCTTTTCTTTCAGCAAAGCAAGCCTTGAAAACAGTAGGAGACATTAACAAAAAGGCCACACACTCCTTCACACTGTGCACAATCAGTAATAAAGATCAAATGCAACCCACTCTGCTCGTAGCCGCTGCACTTCCAGTTCTGTAGATCTGTCAACTCCATGAGAGGAGAGAGCACTGAGCTCAGCCCTAAGGGCTCGGACTTCCTTTTGCAGGGCAGCTGGGTCAGGCTTACCCACATAGGGCAGGGGTAAAGGGTAGTGTATCCTAGAAACACAAACCAGCAAGCAAATCAAGACAACCAAAATACTCAAAACCTGAAAAGAAGACATAATCCAACACAGCTATGATGTCAATATGTCTGTTTGTCACAGAGAGACACACCTGTCAATTCCAACACAGCTATATGATGTCAATATGTCAGTTTGTCACAGAGAGACACACCTGTCAAACTCCACAGTGTATATGAGGATTAAATATCTCTTGGCAGTGAGAGCAGAGGACTGCTGATGGCTGCGGGGATGACTAACCACTCCTGCTTTTCTGTTACGCAGCAACTCCAGGTCAGCATAGGTCAGGAGGTCAAGTGTAACTGAATCACTCGTCTGAAGAAAAAGCTCAAGTTAACTATCAGAAATACAAAATTATTTCAAGGACATCATCTTGAGAATAAAAAACAATAAAAGATGCTAAATATTAAAATGGTGGGCTCCTGTCTGATCCTTACATGCACATTATTCAAGGTTGTAGCGGTATACCGGTTTCACAGTATATCATGGGATGAAAATTGATGGTTATCGTACTATGCGCATTTGCTTGTTACCGGTATGTACTCAAATTTCCTATTCTTACTGTTATTTTCCCCTAGGCTCTCTCCTTTTGGTCCCTGCTCCTGTGTATTAATGAAAAGGAGAAAGGGAATATGACACTTCTGGATAACTGTGCACTTTTCGCTTGAGTGGAAACACCAAACTCAAAGGATTGAGTCTTGCCTCAGCTCAGGCAGCCTCGAGCAAATCTATGTCTGTCCACATCTTTCTGTTGACTCGGTATGCAATTGTGCCACCTGTACATTTGTTTTCATTCTATGAGTGGACCCTCCAACATACCTTTCTAACAGCTGATTCCAGCATACTACAGAATATGGGAAATTGCTTGAAGTTTCCAGTTTTGCGAGTGAGGTCCTCAATATCTGAACATAAATAAATACATATATAAGCCAGCATGAATAGGACAATTTGTGCCTATGATGACATTCAATCTTTGGTAAATGTATACTACTTACATGCTGGATCAAATTCCCCCCTCCACTGATCTGCTGTCATCGAGTTGGAGATTTCGACTATCAGCAAGCCTCTGTCCACCTCTATCTTTACAACAAACTCCACTCCTCGAAATACAATATCTACCATCACCTCAGCGCCTTCCTCCATCTCTCTGGGTCTGTGCAGAAAAAATAAATTATTTTTGTGAATTACAAATAATCGGAATTAACCAATTTTTCCACTATTAATGGCTGTGTAATGTTAGTTTACAAGCTTCTGTATGGTTGCAATGTCATAAAGTTACCTTTATCTTCCAGAAGTAAACTACAGGATCTAAAACCTGATTATGACCCTAATCTGACTAAGAAAACTAAACTAACTTTCAACAGCCTGGAACACCTGCTCTGGTCTGTAAAAAACAACACATTTGGACAATTTAATGTCCAGTAGTATGTTCGTGGCCTGAGAGAACAACCCAAAACCCACGGCAGCAAGTGAGCATTTCATGTGCACGTGTTGTTTTCTACTCACGTGACTAATTTGGTTAAGTGTATTATATGTATGATTCATTTAGAGTGATTTTTGCAGAAATAAAAGTTCTGGTTGATGGATCATATCATACGGTGATGCCTTTGCAAGCCGTATCACACATGACTTCCCTTTCCAACACAAAATGTATGATAACCTCATCTTTCACTGTACAGGCATACAAAACATATACAGTGGGATTATTGCATGTTTAGCTAGCTACCTCACAGTAATGACATTAAGTCTGACAGTTGTTTCTATGAAATTAATAATTGTGGGCTTCTGAAATATAACGCTAAAAACATTTAAACTCGTCTGTCAATAGGTCAATAGGTCAGCTAGCGAAAGTCAGCAACTGACCACTGTTAGCTAGCATAGACATTGGCGTTAGTTAGATTTGGGTCACGCAAGTTGAAGTACTGCTACAGAAATTGACTCGCAGGTAGCTAACCAAGCTAACTTATCTATATGTAGTTAAGCCACATAACGTTAATCGCTGTGAGAAACAATAAATCACATTAACGTTGCCTTTGGTAGCCGTAGTAATCCTTAATGGAGTAGCGTTAAGTTGTCAGCACATCTCTGCTTATTGTAAAAATACAGTGGTAACTTGCTAGGTAAAGTAAATAAAACAACTAGCCGCTGGACTGGTTGTACACCCCAAACATCTATAAGCACCGTTGAGTCTGAAGCAATTCAACAACCGGGAACCGTTAAATTCTTCTTCGGCATTTTACTCTGCTTCCTGCTGCTTCTTCTTTTATCTAATTGTGACGGAGGTTCAGCGCCTCTCGGGTGTATTGCTGCCCTCTATAGGTCATGGACAGACACTACGATCACAGTACTGGCAGTACTGGATCTCAGTTACCAGAGATGCTTGACAAGATTGACTGATACCAGTCGTATTTCAGCTTTTGCGTTAAAAACAGCTAAACTAGTACTACCAGTAAGGGAGAGAAATATGTCATGATTTATGAAATGAATGCAATATTATTAGTTTATACCACCAAATAATTTGCCAAATTATTATCCTGCTATAATGTTTTGTTTTGGGCATTTTGCATTCTTCAAATTGTTCTTTAGGCTAAATGTTTGATAACCTGCTGCAAAAGCTCAGTGTTAACCCTGTCCTCTGCATGTCTTTCACTTTGGAAAGACGGTGTCCTTGCCATCACACCTCACCTTGGACCATCACACTACTTGGGTAGAAGGCAGTTGAGAAAATGGTTTCCTGTGGGTCTGGACGAACTCACTGATATATTAGCTAACATGCTGCCACTGGCATGGCTGCATCTCTAAAAGAAGTGAATAAATACAAATGCTGTCTTGAGACAGTAGGATAGGAAAAATACAATAATAGAACATTTTCTTTATATCATATCACAGCAAGTTATGTCAAAGAGGAGTAAATATAAAGAACATCATCACACAGGGTGCATGGAAAGTTAAGTCACAAAGCTTGTAAATCTCAACCTTAACTGTTTCACTCATTTGTAACTATTGCTTTTTTTGACCACAATCTTAGTATTTTCTTATGAGTGAAAAGAGAAACTTTGCACCAAGATAGTCAAAAGCAGTCACTCTTGAGCCCATTTTACTTTGGCTCCCTTGTCCCTTGATTCACATTATGTGGATCATTATTTCAGGAACCACATGGCACTAGCAATTATTAGCTAAAAATATGGCTACTCTCTCTGGCCAGAGATGACTCGTCACACTGTGTAATTAAAATTGTCCACAAATATAAAGGCATTTATTTGTGTGCCTCAATATTATTAGCATTATCCAAAAAGATTTCAGTGTTTTGCTTTAAGCTTTGTTCATCTACAAATCATACTAGGCCCAAAGGCAGAAATACTAGTTTGTAAATCACGTGTTATGGAGTTTTTAAGATTATTTATCATATTTATCCTTCCTGTAGCTGACACTTTGACAGCATCTCTGGCTGAACTTTTTTGCATTACTGCTTTCTCACATGACAACTGATGAATCAAACTAAATCAGACTGACAAACTGCATATTGACATCAGATGAAACTGATCATTTTGGCTCTACTGCACATTTATAGCCATAATTATAAACATGTAATGTCCCTAAATAAAGAATTAAAAAAAAAATTAAAGTAATAAAGCCATTAATATTCTGTATTTATGTCAACTACACATTAAGGTTGGTTGGGAGCACTTGAAAGGTAAAAGCAAGTTGTAAATTTGTTAATTTTTTGCCAGTGTCATGTTTAAATCCTGAATCAGTTTAGTGTGTGTGTCTCTCTGTGTGTGTGTTACATAAAGCAGAAAATGAAGCACATCATTTAAAAACTGTCTAACATAAAAATATATTTTATTGGTTATTGTTAAATGGATTGCATAGTACACCTGCTGAGAGAGTAATATGTCAGTGGATTTATACAGATACTGTATCACTACTTACTGATGCACTTACTCACATACATGTACTACCATCATTAAAATATCATGTAAAAGTGATTGAGAAAGAGTACTAAACCTGAAAAGACTAAATATGAATCAAACGCTAAAGTTCAACACCTGATATGCGGCTGATCCATGAGATGAAGGCAGACATGCTCTCTATCTTCCACACCTGTCTGCTCCTGTCATTCAGCCATCAGACGACAGGCAGAAGGAACCCCTGCCCTTACCTGCAGCATCAGACTAGATTAAAGGGATGAACAGAGAGACATGGAAAGTCATGCTCAACAAGCCCTCCCACACAGCCTGCAGCAACAACAACAACAAAAAGCCCTGTCAGAGGGGCTGGGAGCTACACAGTACAGCCAGTCTTATCTTTCGGCCACCGAGCAAACCGTACTGAGGCAGTTTTGAGTTCAGTGCGTTGTTCAAGGGCACCCCGGTATCAGTTGATTGTGAATTTCAACAAGGACTTCAAATTTCCTTGGTCCATGCTCGGTAGATATGACTGTGTTATTCAAAGGCCCAATTATTTAAATGCAAACTTTGTGTCACTCGAAGCTCTTTCAGGAGAAGTTCAATTGAGTTTCAATGGAGTGTTAGTAGAAAAAAAGGATAGTGCTGTTAAAATGACAAGATGACTGCACCAATCAGGTTGTGCTTGAAGACTGAGGGGGTGGACAAGGGGCTGATGATGTCAGTGTGACAGTTGAAACATCAGACAGCCTCTCAGTTTGCACAACAAACTCAAGAGGCTTCCTCTCGCTGGTCAGTGTTCAGCAGATCCATGGAAGAAGAAGAGCAGACCAGCGGTGCTCAAGAAACAGACGCTGCTGTCAAAGGTACCAGGTACCAGGTTTTTATATTTGATCAGTGTATGGATTACATTACAAACTGCTTCTGACTGTAATTTTTTTAAAATACATTTGGAGTTTTCTTATAATGAACATATTTATAATGCTTTAAGCTAAGCTTAGCATTTTGCACATCCGATCAATTAGATATCTGTGGTTGAAATCATTTTGGTTTAATAAGGGTAAAAAAAACAAACAACTAAGTTATGCCAAATATAATAATAAATGTTTACACTTTAGTGAACATGCTACTAATATACTGCATGTCTTGGTTTTTTTTCAGGCTATACTCCTCATGATTTTTCTCCTGTGAACAAAGCAGCCTGCTCTAATCGCTCACAAGCAATGATTTTCAATCCTGTGCAGTTTTGATACTGGCAGAGCTGGTGCATGTTGTTGCAGTGGTATATCTGCGTTGCTGCTGTGCACATGGCTCAGAGGAGGGCTGCCGGTGGCTGCTGCTGTCCTAGGGCCCCCGTGAATGAAGACAACGCTCGCTTCTGCCTGCTGGCTGGGCTCATCCTGCTCTACTTGTTCTGTGGGGCGGCCATCTTCTCAGCCCTGGAACATCCATTTGAGCTGCGTGCCCGTCGCCTCTGGAAACAACAGCTGGACAACTTCACCCAGCGATATAGGGTTAACCTGGGTGCCTTGCACACCCTGCTGCGGCAGTATGAGGAAGCAAATGGAGCTGGCATCAGAGTGGACACGCTGAGGCCCCGCTGGGACTTTTCAGGAGCGTTCTACTTTGTGGGAACAGTGGTCTCCACTATAGGTAAGTCTTCATTTCCTTGAAGTTTTATTCAGATATTTCTTCAGTTTTATTCAGATATGTTGCATATGAGGCTCAAACTCCAAAAGAGTAATGCTTGTGTACCATAACCTTTAACCCTTTGCATTTATTGTTCTCTTTTCCAGGCTTTGGTATGACTACACCAGCGACCATAGCTGGGAAGATATTTTTGATCTTTTATGGTCTCATTGGCTGTGCTGCCACCATCCTCTTCTTTAACCTCTTCCTGGAAAGGATCATCACAATGCTAGCTTACATCATGCGCTGGTGTCACAAGCGTCGGCTGAGGTGCGCTGGGGTTGGAGTGGTGTCGAGCAGGGAAGAGACATCAGGTGAAGAGGACAGCCTGGAGGGTTGGAAGCCATCAGTCTATTATGTTATGCTGATCCTAGGACTGGCATCGATTGTGATTGCATGCAGTGCCTCTACTCTGTACAGCTCCATGGAAAACTGGAGCTATGTGGACTCCCTCTACTTCTGCTTTGTGGCCTTCAGCACCATTGGCTTTGGCGACCTGGTGAGCAGTCAGAGGCAACAGTATGAGTCTCAGGAGGCCTACCGGCTTGGGAACTGCCTTTTCATATTAATGGGAGTGTGTTGTATCTACTCACTTTTCAATGTTATTTCTATTGTCATCAAGCAAACTCTCAACTGGATTCTGGGTAAACTGGTCTGCTCAGGGCAGCATCAGCTCTGCTCGTGTTCTGCACCTGGCTGCTGGGGGCTCTGGTGCCCCTGCCTCCAACACAAAAATCAGAAACAGAGGCGCCTGCCTGCACACCTGAGGCAGAGACGCTTAAAACGCAACACAGTGCAGCCCATCTCAACCACAGGAAGACACCTCTACAGGGACGGGTCGGAGGAGACAGTGTGTGACAGTGAGACGGATGCTGGCGCAGTGGCTGATGGAGTACATGTGGGGCGTCGTTTGTCAGGAGAGATGATCTCTGTTAATGAGTTCATGGTGTCCAATAAGGTGTCTCTTGCACTCCTGCAGAAGCAACTAAGCGAAACAGCTCATCAGGGCCCACGACAGAGCTACAGTCATCAAAATGGATTTTCTGGTGGTGTGGGGGCCTTGGCCATCATGAATAATCGCCTTCAAGAAACCAGTGTGGATAGGTAGCACCACACTGTATAACACTTTAAGATGTTATTCTTGTGTACATTGATTTGGAGATCCCATTCAACCTGAGTAATTTCAAGAAAATTATTCACTTGTCCTCTCTGTACCACAAAACCACAAAGTAATTTTCCTCTAATTAGCACCTGCTCAGCTTTTCTCTGTGCAGTTTATGCTGATAATAGTAGACCTCCAGCATGAATTCTGGACAGCACATAATTGTTCATTTTGTCTGCCAAGTAGAAACACAGGGAAAAGACAAATCTAATTTAAAGAATTCAGTATCTCCGCGAAGAGGGGTCTGATGTCCTGAAGTGATTGGCTCATACACAAGCAATCAGATAAAAGAAGCAGAGAAGGACCACTTACAGGAGACTGCTGATTTAAGAGTGCTGCACATGTCCCCTGAACTCCTCAACAAACACAGCTATATGTGAGGTGATAGTGACCGTCATCACAATATCTGTCCGCTCTTTGATAACTAGCTGCACTAAATTGTACTTTGTGTTTATACAGAGCCTCTCCAACACACTACAGGATTGTTTAGTAAAACATTTTAATTTGTTGATTGCGTACAAGTCACCCATCCTGTGTCATCATTGCATGTCATTGAAATTCATACTAATCATGAAAGAGGCCTGAGAAGCAGGACATTCACTAAACCACATCTAATCAAACACGGCCTGTAGAGGACATCCTTAGTCAGTAAGTGCTGCGCAGATAATCGCAGGAGCACATTACCAGAGCGGTGAGTGAGATTCAGGCTATGCTCGGCTTAGCTGGAGGAGATGCTTTACTATGCAAGGAATCAGATTTTTATCCATTGTGTCATTCTGCATCAGATGTGACAGATGTTCATCAGGTGTGAGGAGAAGAGCTTCCTCCTTAAGGAGCACACGAGAGACAAAATCATTCGTTTTCCTCTAGATGTCATGCTTGTTGAATTGTCTGCACTGCTACTATTTTCAAAACTATGAGAAAAGCAGCTCTTTAGTGGGTTATTGTGGATAAAAATACTGCAAATCACAGGTCAAATGTTCTTTATTTAGGTTTAAAACAATTGTGACTCTTACATGTACTGTATACAGAGAACAATACTCACTGAAATAACATAGAAATCCAGTACGATGCAGATAAAATGACCCATCATATAACTGATCCATTCTAATTCTGTTTGTTTTTACCAACTATATAAAATATGAATGAGGCAGCACAGTACACATCATCAAATCCGTGTGAAAAATACATTTCACATAGACTGTATAGAAGAATGTATTTAGAAATATGGTTAATATATACAAAGAATTGCAATAATTGTATTAATGTACTGTATGTCAACTATATTTTGATTGGTCAGTAAATATTAATTTTAGGGTATCTAACCAAATGTTGGATGCTTCTAGTGTGGTTTTTGGTCCCAGTCTAACTGCAACACACTATATAGATCTTAATAATATAGATAATAATCTAACAGGCCATTATTATAACAAATAACACATTTTAAAAACATTAGTCCAGGTCCAAAAACATTTTAAAGTATCTGTGAAATGTAGTTTTTCTTGATGTGTGTATGTGCTGACATTTAATTATTAGAATTAAATATTTAATCGGTGTTTACTTGTTTGTCACTTCCAACCAGGGGAAAAGATACATTTATACATTCCCATCAGCTGATCAACTGTACCATCTATTAGCATTTCCCATTGAAACAAATGGATATAACACATGTTAACTACATTTTAGTTTTTGGCTACCACTGATAGTGTTTCATAATTTTCCTTCCTTGAGTGAAAATACAAACTGAAATTCTTTATGTTTTTACTTTATTATATCTTTACAAACATGTACTAACCCTTATTCTATCCAGTGAAAATGTAAAATGTCACAGTTGGTTGTGATTCAGTTTAATAGGCTGTCATCGGAAATGATCATCTGTAGCCTATTTTCTTTTTACTGAATATGAGGCAGAGGTTTGTTGCTGGGTCAGTGTCTCTGGGTAAGTTTTACAAAATGTCCTTCTTGTATAAATATAAAATGTATCAGGCTTTATTGGATCTAGTTTTGCATTATATTTATGACAAGATGCTGCTTGTTAGCATGATGTAAACAAACATCCCTGTTTGCTCATCATCTCCCTTTTGGTCAAATTGGACACAGAAAACAGTTTTAATATGAACATTTATTACATTCCCTCCATGGATCCTTGGAGACAAGATCCAGATGGACTTTTCAAGAGCCTCCCAGGTCCTGGACAGACATGTAATGTAGGAACTAATGGTAAATTTTCTGTGCACAGTGGTGGAAATAACATGTCCTCTGATGGTTAAAATAAGACAAACATAGTTTCTACTCACAGTTGGTACTGTGGGCTTGTGTGTCTCTCTTTGTTGATAGTAAGCAGAAATAATGCAGTTCCTTCTGTAACACACAGGAGTAACACAGTTTAATTTCCCAATACAATGTGTAGATGCACACACATAAACACCAACACTATTTGATGTCTCTTACTTGCTCTGGATGCCTCCACCTGGAGGTAATCCAGGGATGACAGTGGACGCGAGGACTGTGAGGACAGACAGCAGATCAGGTTCCTCCCCTCTAGCACATAGCTCATCATAAATCTCTGTCAGATGTCAAATAAAAAAAATAAATCTAAACATAGGCATGTAAGCATCTTCAGGGTTTACATGCATCTTACATAAAGTTGATGTTATTTAATGTTTTCAATTGCCAAGAAATTTTTGGCCATGAAAAGATCAAAACCATCCATCAGTTAGTCAGCCTCTCTGTCAGTCAGCCTCAACCCATTTGTTTAAAAACAGTTACACATATGCAATTTTTTTATATTAAAAACGGCAAAATAACTTTTCTAATCAGTTGGGCAATGCAGATTGTAGCAAAGTTTACTCAAACAAGAGCAAAATGTGTATTAGTTGAAAACTATTTTCATTTGTTGTGCTGGTGAGTACAGCATTTACTTTTTGTTAGCTTGTTCCTTTTTTATGTTTTGATAGTGAAGCTGTAGGTGACAGAGGAATAAGCTATATCATGCTACACAGACAATACTTGTTGGTGTCAGCAGGATCAATTCATTGTCTCTTCATGAGGTTTGCTGACAACAAGAAAAACTGAGAACAGAACAAAGAGAGGCATTGAAGAGTTTCATCTCGATGTGCTTTAAATGCAAACCTTACATGTCAAGAAAACAGGAACTCAAATTTTAAACATTCAGTTTAGCAGAACAAGGTCTCCAAATGCCTAGTATGGCAGCACATTACCCCCAGCATCCTTTGCATATTATTTATAGCCACACACCTGCTACTTTGGATTCCAGCAAGTCCTCCAGTTCAGCCTCCTGGTGCAATGCCTCCGCTGACAGCTGGGGGGCTCCAGGGAAGCACAGCAGGATGATGCTGATGTTGTCCAAGCTGCCCTGTGGAGCAAAGCATCATCTACAGAGGTGAGTAATGACGGCTGAACTTACAAATGTCACCATAAGAAACAGGATGGTTCATTTCCAGCTCAAAGAAAATTAAAAGGAAGACAGTGTAACATTTTAAGGTCATTGTCCAAGCTGAAACCCTGTTACATAATAGAGTGACATGATGGACACTGCTATTAGCATGTGGATATGTGGCCCATATATCCTGATGTGTTTCTCTGAATCTAAAGAAAACACAAAAAATAAAATAAACCCACTTTCTTTTATTAATTGCCTTGAGGTTCTGTGGACCCTTGTTTTAAATTTATTATGATTTAAAGCAGGAGCTGGTTTCACTTACTAAAGTAGAAGAAATGCATCCATTATATTATGTTAAAATGAAGATTTATGCTGAAAAGTTTATGTCACTTTAAAGAGTTAATTCTCTTATTCTTCAGATTAGTTACTCTGCAGTCAAAAATATCCTTCAACAAATGCCCTTAAAGCTGGCATGTATAATATGAGCTGAGATAGGTGTAGTGGAATAATTATTCTCCTTCAGTGGTCTGAAATTATTCCTAATTTAAGGATGGTTCAATGAGCAATTCTCTGCTCTTGAACCTCAACCTTCATCCATCTACACTCTCAGCGTGTAGTGCCATTCTGCATTTAATTTCACTCTAAATTACTATGGACAAAGATGCTGTTCTGTGGTGCACTTTTAAATCATTGCCCATATGTGGTCATGAATAGGCTTAATATACTTATAGTGAATTTACTTTTTTTAATCAACAATGAATCACAATAACAACAATGACTTCTTGTATGTGAAAAGAGTTGCTTTCAGTCATGTACACACAGTAAATTACCACCCAGCTTTGCAGTTCTCTTAATAGTGACTTTAGGACTGGTGTTTTGGTTTTATGACCCATAAGTTTACTGGTCTGGTTCACTCTCTCTCTAATGTTGCTTTCATCGATTGCAGGCTAAACGGTGGACTTTCTGAGCTCCATTAGTACCAGCAACAACTGGCACATAATGGCAGTCTATAAACATGTATCCATTGGCTGCTATTACAAAGCAAGCTTTGAACCTTTTAAGTTTATGAACGAGTTATTTGTATATGTAAAGAAATCATCAAACCAATAAGACTTGAGATTAAAATGTACAGTATATACACATAAAATAATGAGAGGATCCAACACTTTTCCCTGTGGAATGCCACATCACATTCTGTACAGACCCATCCACACCATGTATCTTATCAATTACAAATGCAGTCTAGCCTTTTACGGAGATATAATCATCACTGTATTAAACACTTTCTAGAAATCTTCCTATCCCATACAGTTTTCCCAATGTACCATCTGGCTAATCAAAGTTGTTTGTTAAAAGTTAATTGCTGAGCTCGTTTCTCAGAAAATTGGATCACTCCGGTGGCCACCAACTCAACACAGTCACAGTTTGAGAGATTATGTAAATTATTTTATAGAAATTCCATAGTTCATTAAAAATGATACAAGTCAGTTTAAAGCTGAAATTGTGCATCTGATCAGTTAAAACAGCGACCACCATTCTGACTAAGAAGTAAGCCGAGGACTACTGCTGTGGGGTGGCTACATTGGATGGGCACTATTTTAATCCTGCAATTCAACTTGCCTTTTCTAAATTGTATTATATTTACATGAATTTGATTATTCACAAACAATAAGTAATACATGGAAATACATGGATTTCTACAGTGAAACGACATCATTGAAGGTATGATCAGGGACCACCTGCAATGTCTTTGCAGACCACCAGGGGGCCACTGACCACTGGTTGAAAACCCCTGAGTTAAAAGGATTTGTCATTCAAACCGCTGAACATGCAGAAATGTATAATGTGCTGGACCACTTTGTAATTAAAAGGGACTAAGCTAATGTGGGCACTGTTTGGGAGTAGCAGGTTCTGACCTTATAGAGACAGAGGTCAATGACTTGAGTACAGACGTCCCTCAGGTCAGTGCAGACACGCAGCCGGTTGTGGATGAAGGCGCACAGCTCCTCATTGCTGATGGTGTCCCATACCCCATCGCAGGCAAGCACCAGGAACTCATCTGCCACTGAGCGCTCCACCACACACAGCTCTGGTTCTGGTGATACCATCTGTTGGCTGGGAGTCCGGCTCTCAGCCCCTTTGTAGCTGAAGTCCCCCAGAGCACGGGACACAGCCAGAGAGCCGTTGATCCGTTGGAAGGTTACAGAGCCGCCTGCGCTCTCGATACGCTCTTTCTCCAGAGGACTGTAAGGTTTATGGTCCTCAGTGGAAAAGCAAACCTGGCCAGACCGGCATAGAATGGCCCTCGAGTCACCACAGTTAGCAAAGTAAATGTTATATGGTGATATAAGAGTGGCCACCACAGTGGTGCCACCCCTCTCCCAGCCTTCGCGACGTGCCACAGAGTGCAAGTGCTTGTCTGTTTGCAGGAAACCCTCTATGATGGCTCCTTTCACCTTTTCAGGGTTGTCCTCTGCTCCCATTATACCTGTGGTACAAAGAGGGACAGTGTTAGAACATTCCTCTGACACAACATAACACAACACAACACAACACAATACCATATTTGTTTAAACTTTTTATATTCCTTTTAAAATGCATTCTTCATTCCAAATCCTTCACCTGTGCCTAGGATGTGACCCAGAAGGTGCTGGGAGCAGTGCTGTGCCACTGTGCTACCTGCATGACCATCAAACACAGCGAAGAAGCTCCAGTCAGTCAGCTGTCCACCCAGCTGTGGCACACAGTTATGGAAGTCCTCCATGTTGGCCCTCCAGCCTTGCATACTTCCCAGGGCATAGGTGATGCCCCAGCAGGCACAGCCCTCCTCTGTCAACTTGTCCAAGACCGGACGATCTAGGTAGGGGCTGGTTATTACCTCTTCTTTTTCCCCTTTCCCTAGCTGCTCTCCTTCTGCTGCTCCTCCACGGCTCCCCTTGAAGAAAGAGCTGACCCTCTTCTCCGTTTCCTTCACCAGCTGCCGTACAAATGCAGGCATCTCCACACTTCCCTTCCTGGCTGTTCTCATGGCTTTTATGCACAGCTCATGCGTGGGGAATCTTCTTTTGTCCCTGCCCCGGAGTTTGTGGCTGAGACAGAAGGCTGAGCTAGGCCTGATGTTGGGCCTATGCACTGTCTGCGTAGCCCTGCTGCTCCAGGGCTCAGAGCATAGCTACCTGAGCTGACGGATGTTCTCTGTGCTGGCTGCTCACCCCCTTCTTCCTGTTCATCTCCTGCCTCTCCTCTCTCCTTTCACTTTCCAGAAACCTCACTGATCAGTGTTATTTCTTCCAGTCATCATTCCTTTCCTTATTGTTTGGTCTCTCCTCTGTGCTGCTCTGATTTCACCTGCTCCCTCGCTTTTTCATAGCTCTTCCGTCTCTCACTAGCTCTCACTTTGCCTTGTTATTTTCCCTGCCTCCGCTGTGATTGGCTGGCTATTTGTATGCACCAATCCCTGCCTGCTTGCTACCCCACTGTCATGTGTGAGCTCAGCCTCTGTCACTGTCCTCCTGTCTGCAGCCCTGCCCCTCTGGCATCTCTGGTAATCTTAGCCTTTGATCAGTTGGGATTATGGACTCACTACTGTGGATTACACAACTCTCAGCCATTTAGCGCAAAGTGTGCAGCTGATGGTGGGAAGAAGAAACACACAGGAAAAAAGGCTTATTTTCATTATAGACACAGATCCCCATTATTTCCCTTTTACACATTACACATGGTGATAGTGCATGTACTGTACATCTGCAATGAATCATATCTGATCATCCAACAACACCAATAGACCATTTAAACCTGAAAGTCTTTAAGTTTTAGACATTTTGGAGTTACTGAGGAAAATGTGAAGTGGAGTAAATGTTCTATAAAAATATTCATAAATGATACTTTCATCTAGAGTCATGGCTCATCCAAGTCTGTTTTTACCTAGATAGGTTTTAACAGATCCTTTTCTGTGGTTCTTAATGTGGCAATAAAGCTAAATCTGTCATAAACTGGATGTGGATAATCAAGGGTGTAACATTGACATTATTTGGCTTATATTCTTAAATGAAATGGCAAAGAAAACATTATTATTAACCACAAATGTGTTTGTTTTCTGTTGTTATATAGACAACAAATTTGTAATTAATTCAGGAGAGCTGAAAAAACTTAGAAAAAACTCAACTGGAATAGGTTTTTTAGGTCTACGAACTTTCACCTCTCATCCAAGAGGCTTCATCAGTTCTGTTAATTCAGGAGAGATATGCGGCAAAGATTTCTACACATGTTAAGTGTTTATTTTATTCTGAACAATCTGTAATTTTGGCTTTGCATGAATTCTTGTCCTCACAACATGGATCAAAGAAGATTTGTTTGGCACCATTTCCCAAATAATTTGTGGAGTCAGCCAGGACGTTGTCTCTTTCTGTAATTCTAAGCATTCTTTGATTTTGGGGTGAGAACTCTGCCAGTCATGCTTCTGTGACCAGGCAGGAGAGGAATACTATTTTTTTTACTATTGTGATTTTACTTGATTTTTAGTATTCTCTTTCATTTCAGCGGTATAAACTTAATATCATTATATTATTACTGTGTGTGTATATATGACATATACTGTCAAGTCAAGAGGTCAAATCAAGGCAAGAATCTTTATTGTCATTATGCATAGCACAACGAAATTTCTTCCGGCAGCTCTCGGCTTAAAAGACACATTATTTACATAAATAACACAAAAATTGTACAAGTCAATATAAACATACGGACAGATTCTGCACACATTTACTGTGTTATATTATCATTCATATTGTACTTATGATTCTTTTGATTCATGCCTATATTACCTATACTATGCACATACAATAGTTCACATATCACCGTTGCAGAAGTTGCACAACTGGACTTTTTCCTCACACAAATAGTTGCACAATTTACTTATATAGTCTAATGTACTATATTCCATACTGTATATGTACTGTATACAGACTGAGCCATTGCTCTAACCTTCTAATTTATTAATTATTTCATTCCAAGAGGTCTTTATCTGTACAGTTGTAATATGAATTTCTCCTGGGGGTTCAATACAATGTTACAATATATGATCTTGTTCTAAAAGAAATGAGAGTATTAATCAATATCTGCATAACTGTAAATGTTTTGTCAGAGACACTTGCAAGGAGCTGAAATGAAATGCTACATAATTCTTAAATAATAAACCTTGTACAGAAAAATATTTGCCTATGTTTCTTGCATGCATTTAAACTGTAATAAGTTAAGAAACCCAGTCATTTTTGTATTGGAGTATACTGTGTTTCTAGGTATGATTCAAGCTCTATTTTAAATCCATTAGTTTGCTATGAATAGTGCCATATATGGCTGGGGGGGACAGTTTTATTAATGGCTGCTCCTCACTAGTGTGGCTGAATGTGAAGGTCTCTGGGTGCAGGTCAGCTGCCAACTGACTGAGGAACCATGAGAGTCTCTGAAAGCTCGGGGACATGTACATGCTGTCTCAGGTTCCCAATATCTGTGTGTGTATGTGTGCCTGTGTGTGAATCCAAACAGGGGGTATCCAATACAGGATAAAATTAGGCCAGCCAGGCCTTATATTGCTGACAGAGCCCGAGTGGCCAAAAAAAGCCTGGAGGGCAAGCTGGCAGTGGAAGCACAAGGAAGAGAGGAGAGCGAGGATCGCAGTTGAAATGGCCAACAAACGTAAGGAAATAAATGGTGACAACTTTAAGTAAAGTGAATCAGAGTGGACAGGGAGCTTGTAGAGTCCAGCTGTCAGGTGGAGGAGAAAATTTATTTTATCCCCTTTGCCTGGCAGGTGTGAACACAGACAGGATGGCAAGTCAAATACTGGCTCCAACATGTCTTTCTCTTAGCAGACAGATGGACAGATGGGACTCAGTTCAATGAAACGCGGCTGCTGATTGAATGCTGTTCATTTCATTCTTGAAGTTCCAATTTACTCTGTAAGAAAAGAAGACTGATAAGTGTTGTTTTGTCAGGGCTGTTTTTCAGTTTATTTTACTTTTGTAATTAAAGTTAGACTTAGAGTTATGTTATGGTTACCCCAGGCTTGGAAAATGACTTTACATGTGTAACAGCATAAGTGTGAGTGTCTCAGCCAAATTCAGCATTAAATATAGAAACCTGACACCTATATATTTCTCTGGGTACCTGAAAACAGGGTTGCAGATTTATTTGTGTGTGTGTGTGAGAGTCCATGACTATACAGTAATCTTGGAAGACATGCTGTCATTATGTGTGTCTCTCTTTGTAAATGCTTAAGTGTAAGATTGCTGCAGACATGTTTTAATCAGATAATTATCTGGACATTAACACTGGAGTTACGAGGTGCATCTGATATGTTGGTGTTTGAACATCTAATATCACAGTGACTCATAGGATAATTATTTATTATCCTTTCAGAAATTTGCAAGGTGCATTAATAATAGCAATACATTCATTCTCAGACATCTTTCCAGTTGTAGATCTTTTGTACTGGAGGAAGATGAGGAGGACCGGTGTGGTGTTCACAGGGCTGGTGATTGGTCTGGCTAGCCTGTTCCAGCTCAGTGCCATCACTGTGCTCGCCCACATCTGTCTAGGTGTCATGTGTATCACCTTCCCTCTTCGACTCTACTACAAACTGCTGGAGGTGCTGCGCTGGAACCCCGGGGTGCACCCCTTCCAGTAAGTCTAACATCTCTGGTTTGTTTTTCCACTTTTAAGCACATACTACAGAAAAAAGCTGCTGCTGCTGCTGCACTGCTGTCTACGACTTCAAACTTTTATTCATGTGGCACTTTTAGCTAAATGTGGAACCTCAGATACCTTGTTTCACTTATTCTACTGGAATAAATGTACTGTATATAGCCTATATTTATTCTAATTGTGTGTTTGTGTGTCTGTTCTGAGGTCATATCTGGATTATGACACCTCTCTGACAGATAAGGACACTGTGATGTTGGTAGAGGAAGTAGTGCTACTGATTGCATTTGCCATCACAGAGATCAAACGCCTCCTTTTCATCGACAGCATGATCGACTCCATTAAGGTCTGAGCAGGAGAATAAAACAATGATTTAATTTACTAAATTGTTAATGTTGGAACAGCAATTGTGTCATTAAAGCTCACAGCGGAATCCTGAAAGCCAAGTCTATAAATACAATGAATGGTAGAAAAACAAGACAGTACTGATGATTTTACTGTTAAAGCCCCTTTGTGCAGGATTTTTTTTCCCACTTTTCTATAAATATCAGAGAAAAAGCACTGTGGAAGACAGGAATGCATGATACTATCACCAAGGACTGACAAACCACAACAACAAGCAGAATGCAGATAAAAACCAGTCTGAGCTGCACAGAGAGCATTTACAGAAATGTTCAGTATTATCAGCCCTTTCACAGCACAGGGAGTGACCTTCAGATATCATCAAATCACAGCCTCTTTCCTCTGTGTCTCTCAAGTTTGTGGTGCTGCTGTATCTACTGAGCTATGTTGGCGTTCTAACCAATGGACTGACACTGGTGATAACTGGTGAGTAGAACTCATTCCATCCTTACTTCTCACATTCACCCGAGTTTCTAATAGATCTACCTCTGTGTGATTTTTGATGCCAAAATCCTGTGTTTTGTCCTCCCATCTGTTCACTGTTCCACAGTGTGTGAAAGTCATGTGACATCTGATTTTACTGTTCATCCCACATTCAAAGTCTTCTTGTTCTGTGATAGTGTCCTAAGAGTTAGCAGATGATGGTACACAACTAAATGTGCCAAAGAATGGGACAGTATTCATATGGAGGCTCAGTATACAAATTAAATGTTTACCCATCATTTAGCTCCAAAGAGGGGGGTGTCAGGCCACGCCATCATAAATCTTCAGAGCCCCCAATAAGCAGCACCATTTTCCAGACCTAACCTACCCTTAACACAATGTGTACCTGAACCCTATCCTCACCCATGCAAAGAGCAGATATGTGGCTTTCCACACAGTATATGCACCATATCTGCTCAGGTTAAACAGTGGCTGGTCCTTTTAGCATGTAAATCATGTTAAATTGCTTCTCCTTTGTCCTTGTTTTACAGCTGTGATCGCTATATTTTCCCTTCCTTTGTTGTACAAAAAACAGCAGGTGAGACCATGCATACGAGGCCAAATTCCATTTTTTCCTTATATTTAAAATTAGGTCACTTTTTGATAACACTACAAAACTGCATACATTTACTCAAGCAAAAAGAGACATGAGATGTGAGGATTTAAAAAACTTCTCAAAGTGATTACATATGTGATAATATCACTACAAAGTCTACTGCAGCACACGAGGCACATTTATGTTCTTGGAGAGAGAATTACAAAAATGTATTTGAGTCAAACTGTCACCCAGAGATGCTCCAGAGATGCAGTGAATTCACTGACCCATCTGTCATTTTGATGACAGGTACGGATAAGGAGGGTGGTTAGAGCAGTCAGAGCGTTTGTAAAGAGAATCAAAAACCTGTAAGTAACCTGTCCTTTATATAATGTTCTTAATATCATACTCACATGTACATGTTTCCTTTTTCATAGCATCATGTATTGTGATGCCCTTGTTTTGTTGCAGGTGCCTTAGTCTATATGATTTGGTGAGACCCTCTCCTGCCCCTGCGCCTGCCCCTAAACCTGCATCTGTAGCTGCACTTGTTGCCAGACAGAAAGCCAAGTCAAAGTAACTCTTGGATGCATGCTGGAAGCACCCGGGATTTGAGATTGGAAAATGCTGGAATGGTACATCCTCTGTGTGCCCGCTGGAGGGGCTCATTTCCATTTCTGGGCTGTGATGTTTGTTTATGGGAGCAAGATTTAATGAGTCCTGACAATTGAAACAAAGCTGCCATTCACTCAGTAACAGCAAGGGGAAGTGTGTGAAGAGAGGAATTTTATTTACAGAGATGATTTCTGTGGGCACCGTATAATGTAACCAGTTCACACAAGCAGGGCCTGCACAGATTATCACTGTTTTCTCTTTGTCTTTGACAACAGATCTATTTTTACACTGGTGAACCAGTGAGCACTGTGTTCCTGTCGAGTTGCACAACCATTCGGAGTGAAGCAGTGGAGCATTACTAAGGCTTTCATTATTGAGCATCATTTGTTTTTAGTTAAACAGAACAAAACTGACACAAACATCAGCTACCTTTGGCACAAAGCTATTCACATTTTATGCTTTCACGCTGTAACTCATATGAGAGATATGAAATCACTGTTCTCTGGTCTTTATGCTAATTTCATTTAATGAGGTTACAACACTGACTTCTTGCTACTCTTGGGGCAGATTAGAGTTAGATACAGAGATCCAATATTGATACAAAAATAAAGAAAATGTGTAGCAACAAAACAGCACTTAAAAAATGAGAACAATCTCAACTGTTCTGCAGGTGAATTTGGGTTGATTAATAACACAAGAAATCATGTTTTGTGCCACAACAACAGCAATTTTACATAGCTTTATTTTATTTTATTTGGTCAAACCAACAGGGAAAAAGCTTTGTATCTGTTGACTGTACTACTAGTTTTGCTAGCTAGATGCTAACTTTGCTGTTTGGTGTTGAGCAGGTTGTGTGCATTGGGTTTTTAGAGCTTTTTAGCTGAAAAACAGTTGAATACAGTGGGGAGAGTGAACCAAACCAATACACTTGCAGCCTGTACAGCCAACACAGCCACAGCAACAACTAAAACAATGCGGTGAAAGATGCTAAAATGTGCTGTACAACTGAGGGGAACTATGTCTGATATGTAACATATAAAAGGTGAGGTGCAATGAAAAAAGATGCTACTAAAGCTCAGGTTGATGTTGCCCCTACCTTAATTTGGTCTTACATTTGTTCTGTTTTCACCTTCGGTTTCTATGTTACATCTGATTATACTGTAACTAACTACGGTACATAATTAATTACGTTCATGACAGTGCACTACCTCTTTTCAATTGAATGACTGTGTGAACTGGTTGCACAGTAAACTGCCTCCAGAAAACATTTACTCATGCTCATTAAAAAGTCAGTTAATTAAATGAAGGACTGAGACCCAAAATTGATCATATGGGCTTTCATCTGGCATCTCACTTCCAAACACAAACCAACAAATTAAGCAACGTTACCACCTGCTGCAAACAGCTGGAGAAAAGTGCTTGAGGGGCACTTTGACAAGAAGTCAGTGGCAAACACCAAAATATGTATCCATTTTAGGAAGCCATTACATTTCATACTCAGACGTCTTGCAGTGGAGCTTCACTTGATTCAGTATCCTGAAAGGAATAATACAGAATACTTCTGTGGCATCAATTACGTTTGACTCAAAAACTTGCTTTTTTGATAATTCTATCATTCTACAATATAACAATTTAATACTTCAAGCTGGGAGCTGAGTACTGTGTATCATTACAGTTGACTACTCCCACAACTCCATATCAACATTTTCCAAATCTACCAAACATTTTGAGAATGTGGTCATTAGCTAATCGGACTATGTTTCTATGGAACCTTTATCTTTACTACAGCTCTATAAATCAGCCCACACACTTCAGTTGTGACCTGATATGGTGAATTGCACTTGTTTCTGTAACTTGCTGTTGTTCATGTGGTATATTTTAACTTTGGCAGATTTCTCTCCACTTGCAGCTCAAAATCTTTCAGAGCTGGCAAGACGGTGAATCGATAATGATAAACATTTTGATGTTGAA